GCATGAAACTAGTTTAACTTTTTCAAATGTGCCTTTATTAATAATTTAAATGCTTGCAACTTCCAGTCGTATCTGAGTTATATCAGGGATGCAATGGAACAAGATGGAGTGAACGTAATCGGATATACTGTATGGTGTTTAATGGATAATTTCCAATGGACTAGTGGATACAGGTAGGATCATTTTTGTATGTACCTAGGCACTAAGGCACTGCTGAGATTGATGAAATAAACCTATGGTGCGCTCAGTCTTCATTTGTTTCGTCAGACTGGTTCTTGATATAAACAATTCAATATCAGACGATGACGTGGGGTTCACATATCGAATGTTAGATGGCGTGATTCCCAGAACTTATGATCAACATCAGTTCTACCAACCTTGATGCAGCTAAATCGCAAAATGTAATCCCTATCTTCATTGGTCACAATTCGGTCACAATTGTCACATTGATGCCTGTAATTTTGGTACGGAACCAGACTAAACTCAGAGAGAATCACCCACGCCATGTAATGTTTATCAAAGTAGGCGAAAATCAAGGAATTGTATAACAGGAAAGGATTGGAGTGCGTACACCAGAGGTTATTTATTTCACCAATCTGCTGACAATAGCTCATACCTTTTTTATTTCAGTCAAAGGTTGGGTCTCTACCATGTGGACTTCAATTGCCCAGAAAGAACTAGAACGCCAAAACTGTCTGCTCATTATTACAAGAAGGTTTGTCGAACAAGATGCCTTGTAGTTGATGATTATGGTTGTATGGATTAGTTTTGATGACAATTATTAAACCCAACTTGACGTTTTTTTTATTCATTTAATTCAATCCTATCAAACTTCCTTGACAGAAAATGGTTGTCATTTGAAAAATAATAGTTAGACATCTATTATACTAGTCACTAAATCTCTCCAATCATTGAGTATTCAGTATATAATCAATGCTCCAATCCAAATCATTTTGGATTCATAAATTCGTATCTACTATACATGCACTGAAGAAAGTTATTGACACTATAATTGATGGCTTTGAAGAAGGAGAGCACACTGTGGCTGCTCATTGTGACCTGACCAAGGCGTTTGATCGTGTATCTCATTCAATTCTTGTCAGTAAACTTGAAGAATATGGTATAAGAGGGGTAGCTCTTGCTCTTTTCTATATATCTATCTATCAAATACACAGCAATATGTTGCACTTGATTCGAATAATGTTTTTGAGTTGGAACTCATCGAATGTGGAGTACCACAGGGATCTGTTTTGAGCCCTCTCCTTTTCATAATTTATGTCAATGACCTCATCGCTTACATGTGTCCCTATGGCTGTATTGCTTTTCTGATGACACCACCCTCACCACGTCTGGTAAGCAGAGACAAGTGCTTTGAATGAAATTAATCAGGCCCAAGGGAAAGCGGCAACATGGTTTGGAAGAAATAATTTGATGTTGAATTCGGATAGAACTCAACAAATCTATTTTCTTCCAATTGTATCTAACAAGAACGCAGTCAAAATGTTGGGCATTTTTCTAGATTTCACAATGAAAGCAATAAGAACTATCGCTGGTGCTGGCTACGCTGATTCATGTAAACCACTATTTAAATCCCTAAATCTCACAAAGCTACCATCTATTCACATATACCAAATTTCGTTGGATATTCATAAAAATGAAGAAGATTGATCAGGCCAATCAAATTCAGATTGCATAAATCTAACAAAAATTCTCTGGATGTGGATCTCTACAATGCACTCCACTCCCTATATGTGTGGAAAATCTTAATCACTAGAACTTCAAAAAACATTTAAAAGATTTGAATTTCGAATGCCCTCTATTCCATAGAAGAATATATGGCTGCCTCGAGGTCTGGTGCTCTATAATGATATTGTATATCTCTTGTATTTTTTGGAATTGAGTAGGGAATTTGCATATATGAATATCTTTTTAAATTTGTTTTGATATGTCTGTATTTGTGCAACTTTTTCAATACTTTTCTAATACTTAAGGTTTTATAATATGTACCTCGTTCTTTTGTAATTTGACTTGTCTTATTTGTATCACCTCTGTACACCTAAAATAAATTATCTTTCATCTATCTATTATAATATCAAGTCTTGGGAGAATTAGAAAAAAACATTATTTTGATAAATAATCACTCGTGATTTCATCAATTGAATTGATTTAATTATTTTGTCAAATGAATAGGCTTTTGTGGAAAAGATAAATGATCTCGATATAATATTTAATAGATATCATGTCATTGATATTATCGAATAATATTTTTACCTATATGATAATTTTGCGATAATTGCTATTTTGAGCTTGTAAAATGAAATAATATGAATATTACGAAAACTTTCGATGCACAGGATGTTTCCGTATATTAGGTTGACCCCTACCTACAGCTTCAACTATACGAGGTGAAAAAAAAAAAAAATATATGGAAGTTGTATACGATTTCGTCTGTACTATCTCTTGACACTTCCTAAACGAACAGATCAAATGCTAAATAAGGGAAAAAGCAAACTATATACCAGGTGACACGAACTGAAATGGTAGGTATACCGTTTTTTTCTCCTTTGTGCTTCTAGCTATATAGGGTGATTCAAAATCAAATGTAAAGATTTCAAGGACGTATTGTTGGGATCAAAATAAGACTTCTTCTTTATATAAACATGTGCCCTTAAATGAATCCCATTTTTGGCCACTAAAAGTGAGGACCCTTCAACCCCCTTCCAAAACTGGGTTTATATAATTTCTGAAGACAGGCCTGCCAATTTTCAGAACAGTGGCTGTAGCTTGGAGGAGGTGAATTTTTGGACAGATGTTCATATATAGAAAAAGTCTCATTCTGATCCTATAACATCTCAGAAGTTTGGATCATCGAATATGCGCTTCCTCACATTTCAGGATTCTTTTTCATCCTCCGGTTTCCCTGGAAATTACATCAACTTTCGATTTTCAAATGGAACATCCTGTATTTCATTCCATAATCGCTAAGGAATAATTATAACGAAAAACAATACCAGGTTTGTTTGGGTTATTCCAAACGCTTACGAAAATATTCGCGTTCATAATTCTGGGCAAACACTTTTTATTAGACAGTAATTTATACAAGTGATATATTCTACAATGAATGGGCAACATAGTTTTATCAGAGAAATATTCAAATTATCATTCCCGCGGTTGCATTTGTTTCGATTTCACATATTGATTCATATACAAACAAATCATTAACTTCTCTGGAAACAAAATTAGAATCAGCCAAGCAATTATTTTTATAGAAATCCATGAGAGTGTCTGGTGGTTCTATGATCGGTATTGATTTGATCAATAAATTATTAATATCATTTACATTCTTCACAGATTCGGGAATATCCACATCTTTATCAGAAATTACTTTATTCTGTTTGAGAGTGCACCACATCTTTTTTGGATTATTTTGTTGAAACTGAAATGAAAAGAATGCTTTTTTCACCCTATTGATTGTATTGTTTGTATAACTCATCATATCTTTGTAGAAACGAAAATCAACTTCTAGCTTATTTTTTTAATATTTCAGCAAGGCCTTATTGTCTCTCGTCTTCATCATTTCTCTTATGGTGTCTGTCAGCCAGGGAGCCTTTGGTTTGGGTACGCTTGACCATACTATGGGGCATGTATATCAAATGAATTTGTCAAATTGTTGACAAGAAATAAAACCATCTCATCAATACCATCCTGATCAAAAATTCTGAAGACGGGTATGTTGAATAAGTCTGAAATCATTTTCGTTAAAATATTTGAAACTATTCGCGAAAATCACGAACCAATAGATGGCTCTATTATATGTCAAATCAACGTCAAATTTCCAACTGAGTATGAACAACAAAAACATTGCCGTATGCACTCATTGCAAATTGGTTATTTCCAAATCATTTTGCAAAATAGTGAATAATAAGTTGACTTCTTGAAAGACGTACAAGGTTTCCAGTATGGAAAAAATGACTTTTTGTGCAGAGAAATTGCCATTTTGATGTGGATAATGGTGGTATTCATCATTGATATCACACTACAATCCCACAGTTTTCAAACATATGGAATGATCGGAATGGTCCACTCAACACTTGCATGGACTGGAATGGAACCATACAAGCAATCAGCTATTACAACAATATGGTATAGGTATGAAGAAATAATTGAATTCATCAAGAAATATCACTGGCTTTTATGAAGGAGATGGAATTCTAGTGAAGGAGTTGGGAAAGAAGATATGGTTGGAGAGGCTGCTCAGAATGAACAATATCATCGATTTACATAAACAAGGATCTCCAGCAATTGAGGACTTGAAGTTATTCTCAAGATCGAATCATTGCAACCAACATTTATACAATGATTCTAATTGTGCTTCAGGAAATGTATATTATATCATTATAAGGTAGGTACTGGTTTCTTCATTGTAAACAATAAAAGTTCATGCAATAATTCGAGTTTTTTCATCAGGGAGGGATGAGGTTCTGGAATATGCACTTCAACAAATAAATTATTTTCAAATAAAACACATATTTATGAAATTCAAAACAATGGTCGCCATATTTGTTGTTCATACTCGCAAGACTTGTACAGTTAGCCACCAGAGGCCGCACACTTCGTGATTTTCGCGAATATACGATATTCAACAAATTTCGAAACGTTTTTTGTTTCTGTCACTTTCAAATCGCGAGTATTATTTTATCGACAGTAAACTGATCGATCGATTCATTGAACATTTTAAATAGGTAAAACATTTTCTATTATCTTAGTAGTCGGAACGTGTTATTCTTGAGTGGATCAACAATGATTCTCAAGAGTAAAGTATCGATAGAGATCAGCGTGCTGAAATTTTTTATATCTGATGATCCAAGGTGCAATAAGTCATCGATATCACAATCTTGATATGATGGTTGAAAAACAAAAATCGGCTTGTTGAGATAATATAATGGCGATCGAAAAATCCATATAAAAATATGTGTGCCAGCGAAATCTTCCCATTACTCCACAATGATTTCCATTTTGAAATTTGCGGTACTGGCGTCCATAGCCAGTTACAGGTAGGTTGAAAATTTTTGAAACCTGTATATTGATAACTAATTTCGAACAAATTTCAGTTTTGCAGATGATTATGTTCTCAACAGAAAAAGGTTTCCTTCAAATTTCATGTTTGGTGTCGCAACATCTGCATTTCAGATAGAGGGTAAGTCAATATTTCGCTGTTCAATAATAAATGATGATATTTTTTTTTGAATCTCAAAGAAACATTGATAATGGTCAAAACTAGGTCGAAACATTCAAACCACTTTGTATAATTCATGGTTTTAGTCATAATAGAAATACACTCAGTTCCAAAAAAAGTGACGCACTTGATTTGACCTATTTTCTTAAAAAAAAAATAGTAGGCCGATTTTCATTTTTTTTTATTTGTTTCTTTGATTGATCGATTTATCTCTAAAATATTCCGAATTACAGTTTTTTTTGCTGAATCCTTGCAGATTACCAACTTTATACCAACTGAGAACAATAATTTTGAAAAACATTTTTATTAAACACAAAATTATAAATTGGGATGACTGCTTAATACCGTGTATTGCCTCTTCTAGCAACTCTTAGAACTTCTAATCTACGAGGCATACTGGAAATTAAGTTGCTCATCGTTTCCATTGGTATACGATCCCATTCTTCCACTAATGCATCTGTCATTTCTGCGAGATTTTCCGCAGACCTCTCGCGAGAACGTACCCTTCTCCCTAATTCATCCCACAAATGTTCTATAGGATTCATATCGGGGCTTCTCGCAGGCCATTGTAATTTGGTAATGATAAGGGTAGCTCAAGGGCTCAGTTCAAAGGGAAATATTTATTTACCGACCGCAACAATTGTTAAGAGATCAATCATTCCTCATGGCATTGTTCATCGACAAAATGATTTCGCAAACAGAAATAAATGTGGTGGCGCCATCTGCTAGTGATCTGTACAGTTGAAAAAATTGAGACTGATGAATTTCAAGACCCTTCGTGCCAGAATTTGATAAGAAAAAACATATTTTCGGCTCCTGGGAGCCATTTTTGTAGGTATTGAACTGTTCTTCATTTCTAGCCGAAACCCCATTTCTCTAAGTAATATATTTCGGCATATATCGACCAAAAACGGATTTTTGGGATCATTGGCTCTTTTCCAGCCCTTCCGATCACTTCCTGGTGGAAATTTGATTCAGATATTGATGTATCTAATACCTACAAGTTGAGATAAAAAAAGTTTCGGATCCATAACATGTCAAGGTTCCGAGGTTACTTGGCGCTTATTTACTGAACTAAACTAAGAATTCAATCCATAAAAAGGCACAAAGTATCTTCTTCTTCTTCTTCGAAGCACTGGTGGGCGGGTGAACCCCCTGCACGTGGGCCTCCTTATTCGGGCCCATTGTGCGCCCACATGTTACGACATTCAGCTGGGTATGCCGACTGCCTTGGAGAAGTTCAGCAGCTTCCTCAGCTGAATTTCTTTTACGTCCTCTGGCCTAAAAATTATGTTGCCAAGGACAGCCCAGCCCTCCTCTGATGCGTCAGTGCTGGACACTCAGTGAGGACATGTGATGACGTTTCGTCATCTTCCAGGCACCATCTGCAAAGGGGGTCATCCTTGATCTCAATTAGCTCTAGGTGCCTATTAAGGTGGTTGTGCCCCGTTAGGAGCCCCACTACCATTTTAAGGTTTCGCCTGTTTAGGAATAAAACCTCTTTTGCGCGCCTCTTCGAAGGTTCCTTTATGTGTAGCTTCGATTGTCTCATTCCTGGTGTGTCCTGCCATATTTTGAAGAATTGCTTTTGCAGCTGTTCCTCTATAGAGGACATTGCCAGGCTATTTGGTATTCCCAAGATTGGTTCCGGTCCGACCGAGGTCCGTCCTGAACCGATCTTTGCCAGTCTGTCTGCCTCCTCGTTTCCGGGTATTCCTGAATGTCCCGGGACCCACATGAGGCTGACTTTTCTTGATTTTGCCAGGTTTTCCAAGGCTTTTCTGCACTCGGACACCAAATTGGATGTGATCCTATTGGATTGCAAAGCCAGTATTGCAGCTTTGCTGTCCGAGCATAAATAGTGATTGGTCTACGACCTCTCATAATTATAGGTTTTCTTGGACACAGGTGAGTATTGCAAGTACTTCTGCCTGGAACACTGAGGCATATTCTCCCAAAGGAACTGAATTTTTTTTCCCCGTTTCTTCATTGTATACCCCTGCAACCGAACTGCCCCCAAATTTTGAGCCATCCGTGTACCAGGCACAAAGTATACTGTAATAACAGCACAACATTGAACAAAAATGAGGGGATCAAAATAAAATGTTGGGCGCACCTTTCTCGCCAAAAGTTGTACAGTAACGAAGATTTTCATTATGATATTTCCGGTTGACTAGAATCATTCGGAAATAATCAAATCTATTTTCAGGTGCCTGGAATGAAGATGGCAAATCAGCAAGCACCTGGGACAATTACACTCATGCTGTACCTGCTTACATAGAGGATGGGACCAATGCAGACGTTGCTTGTGATTCATATCACAAATACAAAGAAGACGTAGCTATATTGAAAGAAATCGGCGTGAGCCATTACAGATTCTCTCTGGCTTGGAGCAGAATTCTCCCGACCGGTGAGTCTCCCAAAAACATCGAACAGTTTCAATCGGTTTAAAAGTTAGGATAGGGGCATGGAAGCCCTTTTGACGAATGATGATTATTTTTGACCCAAACAGTTGAAAAATCTCGATTTTCCATACCCTATATCTCGGTAATCATTCCCGTTAGACCCCAAGTGTGCTAGATCGTTGAGTTCAGCTCTTCAGAGAGAATATGAAAATGCAATGAAATACAATGTGGTCAATTTAAAAAAAAAAGGTGAGTTTGATATGTCACACTTTTATGAGACACATTGTATAATGGAAGATAATTTGAAATATGCATCTTTTGGACCTACAACTCCTGTGAAAATTTGGTTCTTTCATCTCTAATAGCAGAGCTGCAATCTTGCATTGTCACACTATTGGACCACCCCTGCAAGCGCTTAAATATTAGCTTCCATTTAGAGATAAGTTACCAACTAACTCATCTCTGCTTCCATTGGTCGTATGTGATCGGATCTCGCAACTGGCGATTAGTAAAATGGATAGATGATGATTAAAATTTTTTATCATGGGAAGATGTGCTTCCGTAGCTTCCATAGACGATACACTACTGCCTTCTGGTCCGTATAGAATCGGATTATTCTAGCTTTGTTAAAGATAGTACGATTATTATCTTCGTGGCCACACTTTCACTGGTTGTTGAACATCTGATTATTTCAGGATTCCCGGACCAAATCAACCAGGCTGGCGTCACCTACTACAAGAATCTCCTTCGAGGACTGAGAGCCAACGACATCGAGCCTGTCGTCACCATCTTCCACTGGGAACTGCCTATGGCCCTACAAGAATACAACGGTCTGCTGAACGAGTCCTTCATCGACTGGTACGCCGACTACGCCACCGTATGCTTCGAACTCTTTGGCGATGACGTCAAGTTTTGGTCCACATTCAACGAGCCCAAACAATCCTGCAGCGGAGGCTATGGGTACGGTGGGAATAGGTTTTAGGTTCCTTGTGAGTGGGGCAAATACTGCCCTTCCGTCACGACCCCCACATGAGCATAATTATTGTGTCTCATCCCTAGAGCTTATAGTTGACTGTACTCTATTTGAAACGTCAATGATTGAATGGGTTAGATTCTGAGTTGGTGACAACAAATAATTTGGAACCTGAGTCTCTCTAAACAAGAGTATAAAAATAAAATATGTTCAGCTGTATCGTCAGCTTCACGTTATACAGGGTGTCCCAAAAATTGCTGGGACACAGAGCTACCACGTGTAATACAGTTTGAAATGAGTCGATTGGACTCAACTCATTCTTATAAAAAAATTACCGTTTGTCCGTGAGACGATTTCAAAGTTCACATAAAAAAACATATTTTTGTGCCCTACATTCATGAATGAGTGAAACAAATTGGATATGTAATTTGACATAAGTGGATTTTAGAGGATAACCCTTCTTTTTGTAATCAAAGAAACTTGATGGAAATTTTAGAAGGGTTGAAACCACCCTCACCCCCTGACATTTTTTCCAGAACATTCTTATGGGTAGTAATAGGGTTCTCAAATTTTTCGAGCGAGATGACCGATTAATTGTCTTCATTTTGTTGCTTCCGTGAAAATTGTGTTATCCGCATAGTTCCGAGGAAAACAAAATTCTTAAATAATGCTAACAGATATTCCTGAAAAGTTTGATAGAATTGTAATGCAAAATTATTTGGCAGTGGAAACAAACGAATTGACATTTGTATTGATGGAGGTGGGCGTCATATTGAACATTAATTTAAAAAAAAACGTTCTTCCTTTGTTTCCACTGTCAACAAAATTTTTCATTATAATGATATTGAACTTTTACTAGGAATAATTGGATAATTGATCAGTCATCTCACTCAGGAAATTTGAGAACCGTATTACCACCTCTAAAAATTTTCTGAGAAAAATGTCAGGGGATGAGGGTGGTTTCAACCATTCTATAATTTCTTTTAGGTTTCTTCGATCACCGAAGCTAGGGTTAATGCTCTTAAATGCACTTTTGTCAAATTTTATTCAATTTGTTCCACTCATTTTTGAACAGTGTACAAAAAAAGTGTTTCATTATGATAACTTTGAACTCCTCTCACGAAAAAACGGTACGTTCTGTTATACAGGGTGGGCCACCAGTAACGCCTCGGTCTCTAGAAGGCTAACCACTTATCTTCTTGGAATTCTTTCTTTCTAGGAAGTTGCATGTCAACATAGGCTACCATTTGGAATTATTTTGAAACATACAGGATGTCCCCAAAAATCACAAAACACTGAAGTTGAACTTTTTTCAATCGAACACCCTATATATTATTCCATTTTGAGATTCTTCCTGGTGAGCTGATTTCAACAATCCATCATACTTGGGGTCTAGCAGTTATAATTACTGAGATATAGGGTGTGAGAAATCGAGATTTTCCAAGTTCAAGAATTTTTTGTGTCTAAACCATTTATAATTGGTCAAAACGGCTCACATGTCCCTATCTCAACTTTTGATCAACTATCTACTGACATTTAATTGAAACAACTACAGGGTGGTGCAGAATCCAGAATCTCGATCACCCGGTATATGTCCCAATTAAATATCAGTAGATAGTTAATCAAAAGTTGAGATAGGGACATGTAAGCCGTTTTGACCAATTATGAATAGTTTCGACACAAAAAATTCTTGAACTTGGAAAAACTCGATTTTTCACACCCTATATTTCAGTAATTATAACTGCTAGACCCCGAGTATGATGGGTCGTTGAAATCAGCTCATCAGGGAGAATCTCAAAATGAAATAATATATAGGGTGTTCGATAGAAAAAAGTTTAACTTCAGTTATTTATGGTTCTTGGGGACACCCTGTATGTTTCGAAATAATTTCAAATGGTAGCCTATGTTGACATGCAACTTCCTAGAGAGGAAGAATTCCAAGAAGATAAGTGGTTAGCCTTCTAGAGACCGAGGCGTTACTGGTGGCCCACCCTGTATAAATAAATAGGATCTTATTTTGACTTAAATTATCCGTGGTAGCTCTGATGTGCCCCATGAATTTTGGGACTCCTTGTATATCTCCGATGGTTTAGGAATGAACAGCTCCAAATGAGTCAATCCTGGCAATTCAGTCCAACCAGATGAAATAGTTGTTTTGGCCGCAATTGTGATAGCAAAGTAGGTATGGTTCAAGTCACAGATTCGGTTTCCTTTACCATACTCTCACATACCATATAACCATAATAAATTTCATTATGTTATTCTAGAATTTATCAGACTCGTGAATACATGAAAAATACATCACCTACAAGGAAATGAAATGATCAAATGAACATTTATGCTGAATAACTTATCAGAATTGCAATTTTCTCAACCCCTAGATACGGCTACTTCGTGCCAAACATCCATTCCGAAGGGTTGTTGGAGTACGTGAGTGCACACAACTTGTTGCGAGCCCATGCTAAGGCCTATAGAATATACGAGGAGAGGTTCAAAGCAGCACAGGGTGGTGAGTGTTGTTTCTATAGAAGCGTCTTCATCTTCCCCAAAGATCTAATAATATACATTTAGCTACAGTTGTGTGCTTAAACAAGTCCTGCAGCAGTCATAAGATATTGTGAGTAAGACTTGTCAATCTTGATCAATATTCTCATAGACTTTGACAAATAGTGTCATTATTCAAACCATTTCTGTCAGTAACGCGCCAATGTGTACGTGTACTACTTTTTAATGAAAACTGGAACATCATAGGCAGGATTACACCATATAAACCTTGTACGACTCGTTTATGCACACAACAGTACTTCACTAGATTCCCCCTTGACTAACTGACGTATACAAAGCATTGAAAGTCATGTGAAAAAGAGAAAGGACCATCGGTTTGACGAAATGGTTGCATGTGCAACAATAGTTATTCAACCAGCTAGTGTATTAATCGCCTCTTAATATACTAGTTGGTTACAAAAATTTTCCGTCGACTATATTTCTCATTCCTCCTGCAATGAAGAAAACTTGGTTAGCGAAACTACTAAGAATCACCCAGTATCCTTGTCACTGACATTAGTGACATTTGATATATGTTGAAATAACCAACTGAGAAAATAAATTCCTTATGCTAGAAAACACAGATCAAAATTGTTGCAGAAACCTGGAAAGGCTATACCGATAATCTTCGATGAAATCCATATTTTCAATTTAAATGCAGATTCCGTAATTTATAGTTTGAACAGTGAATGAACGCGGTGTATGTTTGGTTGCCTATGCTACAATCGTGCATTGATAGACAGATTGATTATTAATAGGGGTCATTAACGATCAATTTCATGAACATTAAACTAACTCGTTGATACGAGGTCGACGGAAATAGTAATTTGTGTACCAAGGACAAAACACTGTCTATTATAGTCGAGTCTGCAAATTGAAAGCCGAGGCCTTAGCCGAGGCTAGCAATAAGGCGAGAAAAGTACTTGCCATCAGCTAGTAGCTGCTCGTTGTCTCTGTCACGTTTGTCAAATTCATTGATTGGTTGTCTACGAGTCAAATTGATTATTCTTAGTCAAATTGAGTCATTCTGCTCTAATATAGGTACTCTATATGGATTGGTGAATTTTGGTCAATAAGGTCTTTGAGTACAAAAATTTCATACTGAAAACTGAAATCGAATGAAAATAATAACGTGCAATATCACATTCACAATGCAGTACATGGTGGCGGAATCTGTACCCAACCATCAACTGATTTCGTTGTCCCTTGCCTGTCTTGCATCTCACTCTTATACCGGGGCTGATCATTTAAAAACTTATCGATATTTCAAAAGAAAGATGTATTGTATTGCATTTAAAATGAAAAAAAATGCACTTCCGGTCAAACTGGAAATGACATATTTGGTCTGGTACTAGGGAAATTATAGCAACAAAAATACAGGGGGGATAAATTGGTTCCGGGTCACCAATTATATTTCAATTTCATGGGCATGCTATATATTATGATGATCAGTGATTTCTTCGTAAAATGTTTCGATTCCACCGCTGGATCCAGAAGATCTCTATAAATGATCACCAGAATACCATTGAAACAATTTCATAAGCCGAACAGTTATAGCAATAATCATTTCAGAAATTTATTTCTTTTTCGGTATTCAGACAGAATATGGAAATCGATAGTTGAGATTCCAAGCAGAAATTTCGCTGCAGAAATTCGATGTATCAACTTTTTTTTCTTGAGGTATGTTTATTATAATGACTGATGTTAGAAGGAGGCATTTTTTCGACTACTAATCTACACGATTCAAAAAGAGTACTATCATAGAATTTTTTTTACAGGGAAAGTAGGTATTGTGTTGGATAGCTCTTCATATATACCAGGATCTGACAGGCCTGAGGACATCACAGCAACAGAAACTAATTACCAATTTGAAGTAAGTATTCCATTGGAACTTTCTTGTTGCAAGGTGTCGGCAATTGATGAAACACCTAATTTCAAGAAGAGAAGTAGATACAAACATAGGTCGTAATGCTTTATTTTCAAGTTGAAAAAAAAAATTATTGTTTTTTTATTGCTACTGCACTCAACAAAAATGTCAAATATTCTGGTTGTGAGTTCGACTCTCACACGGGGCGGTGGAGTTTTTTCATTTTCCATTGTCACTCGAAATTAGGGCTCTTCATCTTCATCATTAAATATTCTGGTGACGTACCAAGTATCTGTAGGTAAATATATGAGTATTATTCATCATCTGATATGAATACCACTGGCATCATTAAATTAGATTAGATTAGAAAGGGGCCTTTGGGTTATCTGCTTCCACTTCAGAGTTCTTTAGCTAGAGCTCTATGAGGTTCCATAGGCTAGCTTTAAGATCCCCTGTGTATCTTTGGGCTCTAGGTTTTTCCTTTCCCGCAGCGTAAGGAACCTTAGTTTCGACAAGCCCTCACAGTGGCAGAGTATGTGTACTGCTGTTTCCTCTTCTTCCTGACAGAATCTGCACAGCAGTTCCTCAGCCAGGCCTATTGTATAGAACATCCTGTTACAATGATTTCTTTTTGTAGCACATCGTCACTTTGGAATTCATCTTCTGTGGATATCTTCCCAGAAAATTACAATTCGACGTCCTTCAAGAGAAGGCTTCACAATTTTTTGTCATCCAGTGCTGGCAGTGCCTCTGTGGCATCATAGGTCCATCCTTTTGGGAACACTCCACCATAAAAACAATACCCAGACAACATGAGACTATACCGAGGAGTTACTGGTACTGGTGGGGGACGTTTGCACGTCAGCAACTAGTCCCTAATGGGACCTTTTTGCAAGCCCCAAGGTGTTTTCAATGACTGATGTGGTTCGCTTAAGAGAGCTGGCTAACATCCTTTTCAGACACAGTCCATCAGCTGTCTTTCAGAGTTTTTCGGCTGTGTTTTGTTGGCTAGTAATGTACTCACTACCATATGCTGCAGTGGCAGGCCTGCTAGCTATCCTCGTTAACCCCCGTTAGAGACCGAGGTCCACTAAGCAGCTGGCCCGCTCTAACGCTCAGCTGGTAGTTTGCCTTACCCACCTACATACACCGTCCTACTTCTTCTCTGATGCAGGCTTTGTTACTAAATCCATGCGCCACTTTAGGAGCAGCACTGTTAATTGACAGCGAATCGTGCAGAACTATCCCCAGCCGATGCTCCGAAACTTTACAATATTCGATTCGTAAATAAAAAAAGTTCCTTGCTCGTGCTGGGAATCGAACCCTAGACCTTGCGGTCGTGAGACGGACGCTCTTCCACTGCGCCAATCCCGGCTCTATACCGTGGAGTTGTCCAATGATTTTGAGTTATTCAAACAATTCGAGAAGCCATATATGTTGTTCAAAATTGCATATCTCAAAACATCCTGTATAGATTTTGATGAATCCATTTCGAGAAAACACATCAGGCTTCATGTCTTTGTAGTCAGAAGAAAAATTACAAAATCATCCTACTAACGGGGCGACCTCAAACGTTTCTAATATACTGTCTGTAGGTTAATCGAGGAGGTGGTACATTCATTTTACTTGGTTCTTTGGGATTTTCTCTCCTCGTTTCTATAAAATAAAAGTATTCGTATTATTTCAATATATTTGTAGAGGGACAAATCAGATGATTTGCCCCAAAATGTCACTGCGTTTAACAAATTTTTCTATCAGGGAGTCTAAAAGAAAAATCCAGTAGCTTGTCAGTGACAATTTGTTTGAAAAAATTTTTGAAGGAAAGAAATATAGATATATTGAAAAAATATCGAATTTGTACTTATCTTTGGACGTTTCGGGACCGATTAATAGAAACATCCTGTAACTCATTTGTAGACTAAAATCACTCATTCATATGCCAACATCAGTATGACACTGAAAAGTGTCAAACTATACGCAGCACAACTTTCAAAGAAAAATAATTTGCATTCACATGTTGAGAACGGGAGCAGAATCGGTCCCGAAACGTCCAAAGATAAGTACAAATTCGATATTTTTTCAATATATCTATATTTCTTTCCTTCAAAAATGTTTTCAAACAAATTGTCACTGACAAGCTACTGGATTTTTCTTTTAGACTCCCTGATAGAAAAATTTGTTAAACGCAGTGACATTTTGGGGCAAATCATCTGATTTGTCCCTCTACAAATATATTGAAATAATACGAATACTTTTATTTTATAGAAACGAGGAGAGAAAATCCCAAAGAACCAAGTAAAATGAATGTTTCTAATATCATTACGCTTTCAGATATCATCCTGTAGGTCATGATTCCGAAAAGGTGGAGAAACGTGAGAAAATTATGTTATACCCAATTGACTGAGCAATTCGGATCCCAAAAAAAAACAAAAATCGGTTGATCCCATCCAAAGTTATTACGGTTCGAAAACATACAGAATATTCCCTTGTCTCACTTCAAATGTGGAGCAGTTTATATCGTTATTCACTGTGACACCTTTTTACAGCTGGGTTGGTTCGCCAACCCCGTCTTCAACGGAGACTACCCTGAAATCATGAAATCCCGCATCGCAGCTCGCAGCCGCGCAGAGGGCAGAGAAACTTCCCGTCTGCCCGAGTTCACCGAGGCTGAAAAGATCGCCCTCAAGGGTTCTGCTGACTATTTCGGCCTCAACACCTACTCGACCGCCTTGGTGGTGGCTATCGAAGATCCGCCCATCAGCAATCCGCCCAGCAGGTACCAGGATATGGGCATCTCGAATTACCAACCCGACGAGTGGGGGAATAGTTCGATGTCCGGGTTCAAGGTAAACTGGACCGTAGGTGGTCCCCCACTAAACATGAAAACATAACTTAAACATAAATAAATGTTATATTATAATGTTACTTTGTGATGTTATTCAGAGAGATGCTTAATGTCACAGATACGTTGCAGGAATAGGCATTTGTACCTCTTTTGAATATTACAATATAATGTTGATGGTAACTATTATGTAAATATATCAGGAATCACATAAAATCAAAGTTACTTCATAATGAATATAAAACATCTAAACAATATTGTATATTAACTTTCTAAGTAGTTTCTAGGAGTTTTTAGGTTATGTCTATTTTGTCTGGAATCATCAAGAAAATCCTCTGAATGATCTTCACAAAAGGCAGGGAAGATGATCTATCCCTAAATCCTAAATATGAATTGATCTTACCGTACTCCTGACTATAAGTATGATCTACTTACACAGTAATATTTTGAGACAGATTATCTACTATTTTCCTAAAAGTATCATTTTACTTATTCTGCTTCATAAATCCAGTCAATCCAGCTATATGATTTCTGCATAATCCAGTGATCCCTTACTGAAATTCTGAAAAGTATTAGGTGAATATAAACCTATACGAGTTGTTGGAAGTTTCCTGACTTATTTTGAGATTCTATTCTATGTTCTTCTTCTTGCTATGATAAATAACTCACCCATTATTTTTGTAATTCGTGAAATATGAACACAATCCATATTCACGAATCCCTCCTACTATTTCACATATTATGAAATGCAGATACAGATTGGTTGCATTTCTATATTCCAGCAGAGCAAACCTGGAATCTAAGTAGGTATCATGAACAATTCATATTTTCTTCCGAATTTATTTGAGCCCAAGACTTGTTTAGTTTATAACTTACTTTCAAAACTAAGAATAATATCTGGAAATCAATATTTTCACTGATCACACTGTTTGACCTGTTCACCATAATAGACAACAAACAAAATGGCTGGAATGGAATTGAATTGACTTTTGACAGTTGGCACGGTTACTTTGCCGTAGAAGGAGAAATGTTATCCCCTTGTATCCTCTATACATGTAAGCTACGTAAGGTGATGAAACGAAAACGTTGCACGAATAACATAACAACTCTGTCTGAGATATATCTGATGAACCTAAAATCAATATATCACAATATTATCTAATGATATTGATTTTAATATTGATGCAACGTCTCATAAACGTTAAACTTCATAATATTGTGTTGGATACTTCAGAAGGACATTATCGAAATGTTATTTCAACGATATCACAAAACTTATAACTGAAAAATATTTTTGTTATGTATCATGTTCAGTGGGCATATTCTTGTAGTCTACAGATGTCACCCACTGCGTCTTATCAGTCAGAATCAGTCTTGTTTTTAGAAAAACTAAAAATTGTTCATTCCACTGATTATATGGGCTTTGAAGCATTTTGGTTTTTTCGTCAAAATTGAAAATATCCTCTACAATTTTCAGGTTGCCCCTTGGGGTGTAAGACCCCTGTTGAATTGGGTAAACGATCACTACAATCAACCAGACATCATAATTACTGAGAACGGTACACCTGACATGACCGGTACCTTGCAGGATGAATATAGAGCTTCCTTTATCCAGGTAAGGTAGAACACATCAAATAATGACTATTTTATTTTATTCATTTATTTATTCATTTTTAAAATGACATACATATCAGCGTACTATATTAATGATAATATACATTTTTTTTATAATATAAACATGATCAAAGAAGTTGAAAACTTGTCCATGATCATGTAATTTTTTTTCCTTCCACTGACTAACTAAAATTCATTTTCTCATTAAGTACAATTGACATAATAAATATTTATATTATCTAAGAATAACTATAAAAAACATGATATGTTGCTCAAGTATTTTATCATGTAATCAAATTTCCAAAATTTCTGAATTCTCAATCAACCACGATTTAATTTTTTTCTTGAATCCAAAAAAACTGTTTCTCTTTGAAGGGGGAAGACCACTGAGAGAAGAAATCCGTTCAAACCTCTTTCAATCGACGAAACATGATTTACGTTTGATGTACAATCAATATTATGAGTTAAAGTTGAAGGGAATCGAATCTTTATCGTTTTGAAATCAGTATATTCCATTCGATATTTCAAACAGCCAAATATGATGGTGGAGTCGTGACGTATTAGTCCCGAACTGTAGCTATCTCTCTCTGATACCTCGTCATTCTGCAGTGTTGCAGTGTGATTGGTCAGTTCAAGGACGATAGGCGTGTTGGGAATGAGACGTCGCACCAGTCACACCAATGAATTGACAAAATTTCAAATGGCGCAGGAATTGTGTGTTTTGAAATGGGCATATTCTAATTTATTTTTTCCATCGTCTTAGCATGAATGACAAAATTCAAAATTGATTCGCTGGTAGTTTTTCAGTATAGAGTTTACGATAATGTCATTTTGAAAAATCAGTGGTCTCCCCCAATAAATTTTTTTACCTTTATGAATGCATCAAAGTTGAAGAGAATTTCTCAGTTGATATTCAACCATCAATTTAATTTTTGGTGTCATATCTATGTTTTACATGATTATAGTTTTGTAAATGTTTTCTTATGTAACTTTCTGATGTTTTATAAAACAATTGATCAACAGAAAGAATATTATGATGTTCAAAGAGGATTTTGTAATAATCAAAATTTTTTTGAAGATAATTTTCAAGGTATATTTTTGAATTGATATAAGTAGTTTCAACGCTTGTGTATATATGAAGTAATAAGCAATTTTTTTTTTCTACTCACATAACTAAAATGGCATTTAGCGTACGGATATGAACCGCGCTGAATCATGGATAAATCACGGATTGACGATCTGTGATTTATTCAAAATATTAAACACGTTACCATGGCAACAGAATTTCTTAAACACATCACCATGGCAACAGAGTTTTTAAACACACCTTCAGTCGTTCGAGTCCTGTCAATTGTAGGAACTGTCAACTGCCATTTTCGAATTTTGTTGCAATCAGAATTAGTATGCAAACAATTTCTGTTCGTATCAAAATTCTTCATTGAAAATGTACGCGAAATGTGCCTTTATTTATAATTTTAATGCTTTCAACTTCCAGTCGTATCTGAGTTACATCAGGGATACAATGGAGCAAGATGGAGTGAATGTAATCGGTTATACTGTGTGGAGTATAATGGACAATTTCGAATGGACTCATGGATACAGGTATGCTCATTCTTACATCGAGGCACTGCTGACTGCTGCATTACAATATCTCATACCTTTCTTATTTCAGTCAAAAGTTTGGTCTCTACAATGTGGACTTCAATAGCCCAAACAGAACAAGAACGCCAAAGCTGTCTGCTCAGTATTACAAGAAAGTTTGTCAAACAAAATGCCTTATAGTTGATGAAAATGGTTGTACGGATTAGTGGTAATGAGAATTATTCTAACTGAATTCGGCGTTTTTTTTTTCTTCCTTCAATTCATATGATTTGATCCTTTCAAGCTACCTCCAGTGTTTTGCAAACTCAGACAGGTTAGGTAAGGTAATCAGATAACTGAACTTTCTCACCACACTGTATTTATTCCAATTAAATGTCAGTAGAAAGCAAATGAAAAGCTGAGGTAGGGACATGAAAACCACTTTGGCTAATAATGAATAGTTCCGACACAACATTTTTCTGAAGTTGAAAAAAATCTCAATTTTTCACACCCTATATCTCTGTAATCATTTCAGCTAGACACCCCAAGTGTGAAAGATCGATGAAATCAGTTCTTCAGAGAGAATCTGAAAATGCAACAAAATATATGGTGTCTTTAAGAATTCATAAATGATGCCCATAAATGTTTTCTGATATGTTCAACTGTTTTTCTGTTGGCATATAAATAAAATCCACTGATGAATATGAAAGAACTTTTCTTGAAATCAAAATTGTACATATAAAAGTTAAGTGGGGAATCAAAAAATAGGTGAAGACCCTGTACAACACTAGCCGAATTTACGCCAAGTACGTATATAATATTGATTGTTTCATTTATTGATAGTATTTGATTCAATTATTCTATATTTGAAATTATCAGAAGAACTCAAATCCTAATCTAATATAGTGATCGTACCCGCAGAATTCTATTGGACTGAAATTAGTACTCTCATTGTGTATTTATCCTCGATCAATTACATAATGATAAGAAAAGGTAAAAATCATTCACAAAAAATAGTGCAGTATCCATCAAGGGACATAAATACAAGATTTTTTTCAATATGCGATTTGTAGCTCGAGGGCGAAGCCCGAGTGATTCAAAGCATCGAGGGAAAAATTGCATTCTGTCCTGAGGGGTATGCCGAATGTTTCGTAATATGTGGGACACACTGAGAGCTAAAAAGGCCTCTCAAAAAAATGAAATAGTTCTCGTAAACGCGATATGTGGTTAGTAGTGAAATCAATAATGAATTATAAACTACGACACAAAAAATAGTACAGTATAAGTTTATCAGGGGACATAAATGCAAGATTGTTTCAAGATGCGATTTGTAGCTCGAGGGGAAGCCCGAGAGATACAAAGCATCAAGGGAAAAACTGCATTCTGTCCTGAGGTGTATACAGGATGTTTCGTAATATGTGAGACACACTCCGAGAGATGAAAGAGCCTCTCAAGATAATGAAAAAGTTCTCATAAACGCCATATGTGGTTAGTAGTCGGATTAATAATGAATTATAAACTACGACACAAAAAATAGTACAGTATAAGTACATCCAGGGACATAAATTATATTAACGAGTAAGTTTAATGTTCATGAAATCGTTCATTAATGACCCCAATGAATGATCAATTTCTCAATTAATGCACGATTGTTTTATAGGCAACCAAACATACACCGCGTGCATTCATTGTTCTGCTTTAACTTACGGAATCTGCATTTAAATCGAAAATATGGATTTCATCGAAGATTTTCCGTTAACGGGTTCTGACACCATTTTCCCTGTTTTCTAATACAAGGAATTCATTTTTTATGTTGATCATTTCGACAAATGTCAAATGTCACTAATGTCAGTAACAAGGCTACTGGGTGATTCTTAGCAGTTTCCAGATGAATGATGAATTCGCAAACCAAGTTTTCTTCATTGCAGGAGAAATGAGAAATATAGTCGACTGAAAAATTCTGTAACCAACCTGTATATCAAAAGGCGATTAATGACCTCGAACATTAACGTGCGAGCGAAGGGAAGCGAAGCGAAATTTCTCGATCATTAATCGCCCTCATTGATACACTAGTTGGTTAAATAACTATTTCCGTCGACCTCGTATTAAGAACTAAGTTTAATGTAGGTATATGAAATCGTTCATTAATGACCCCTATTAATGAACGATTTGTCTATTAATGCACGATTGTTTTATAGGCAACCAAACATACACCGCGTGTGTTGTTTATGCTATAACTTACGGAATCTGCATTTAAATCGAAAATATGGATTTCATTGAAGATTTTCCGTTAACGGGTTCGCCTTTCCAAGTTTCTAACACGATTTCAATCCTTGTTTTCTAACACGAGGAATTTATTTTCTATGTTGATCATTTCGACAAATGTCAAATGTCACTAATGTCAGTAACAAGTCTACTGGGTGATTCTTAGCAGTTTCCGGATGAATGATGAATTCGCGAACCAAGTTTTCTTCATTGCAGGAGAAATGAGAAATATAGTCGACGGAAAAATTTTGTAACCAACTTGTATATTAAAAGGCGATTAATGATCTCGAACATTAACGAGCTCGCTTCGCTCGGACGTTAAAATATCTCGATCATTAATCGCGCTCATTAATACACTAGTTGGTTAAATAACTATTTCCGTCGACCTCGTATTAACGAGTAAGTTCAATGTTCATGAAATCGTTCATTAATGACCCCTATCAATGATCAATTTGTCTATTAATGCACGATTGTTTTATAGGCAACCAAACATACACCGCGTGTATTCATTGTATATGCTATAACTTACGGAATCTGCATTTAAATCGAAAATATGGATTTCAACGCAGATTTTCCGTTAACGGGTTCGCCTTTTCAAGTTTTTGACACGATTTCAATCCCTGTTTTCTAACACACGGAATTTATTTTCTATGTTGATCATTTCGACAAATGTCAAATGTCACTAATGTCAGTAACAAGGCTACTGGGTGATTCCTAGCAGTTTCCGGATGAATGATGAATTCGCGAACCAAGTTTTCTTCATTGCAGGATGTTAAATTTATAAAATTATCATCCTGTATATGTTGATCTAGTGTGCCATTCATTCTATTGATATTAGTTCAGTTGTCTGTCGATAATAATAAATATTGTCAATCAGATTTGTATCTTCTTATAAAGTAGATTTCCTTACAATTCCCATTGGAATTATAGTTTCTACCACATAGCTCAACAGGTTACGGGCCCAGGCTACGCATAAAGTAGTGCAGAAACAAGAGAGGAAATAACGATATGGAGTTCAAAGCACATATCGATAAACTAGAAGGAGCATCAAATTGGACAAAATGGAGAAGACAGATTGAGCTTTTGCTGAGACATCATGAAGTTCTCGAAGTTACAACTGGAGAGATTCAATCTCCAGGTGATCCAGGTGATATTGCTACACCAGAAGCTATCATTCAGTTCAATGCAGATTTGAAACGTTTCAAGAAACTAGATGCATTAGCTCAGCTGATTTTAGTTGGTAGCATGAATGACGCAAATGTCGAACTAACAGCGACTTGCGACACCTCGAATTCTACATGGGAGAAACTTTTGTCTGTATATGAACAGAGCTCTGGACAACGGATCGATAGACTGATGGAACAGTTTTTTAGTTCACAAAAGGATCCTTCTGAAGACATAGCTACTCACATAGCTAGACTCCAAAGAAATTTTCGTGAACTGAACGATGAAATGAAAAAGCTAGTGCATGTAGAATTACCAGAATTGTTACTAATGAGTAGAATTATGTCTACTCTTCCATGTGAGTACTTCGAATTTAAAAGTGTTTGGGAATCAGTTTCTGTGACCGAGAGAACGATCAACAAGCTGACTGAACGTTTACGCCTGATTGAGATGAGATTGCCTGTGAAGCCCAATGACAACACAACTGCTTTTGTTGCTAAATCTAACACGAAACGATTAGGAAGATCATCAAAACCAGTTAGGAAATGTTTCAAATGTCATGAAGTCGGTCATTTCGCCAAGAACTGTCCAAATAAGAAACGCTTGGATGAAGCAAACAAGGCAGATGCTGAAGGAGCTGCATTTTCTAGTGTGACCAAGAGCACGAAGAACAATGTTGGAAGCAACGAGCAATGGTTAGCTGATTCAGGTGCATCGGCTCACATGACAAGTAACAATGAATATTTCATCGATTTTCAACCCTTTGTAACTCCAAAAGAAGTTCAGGTCGGTAATGGTGCTGTTATTTTGGCTTACGGTGAAGGAAATATCAATGTTCAGATGGAAGTAAACAATAAAACGTTCATGAATCATCTTGAAAACGTGTGGTATGTACCTGATATCATGACAATACAGGACGAGTGTGTAAGCTGAATAGGAGCTTGTATGGTTTGAAGCAGTCGCCACGATGCTGGAACACCCGTTTTGTACACTTCTTGAAAAATGAAGAAATGATCTGCAGTTCATCGGATCCATGCCTGTTTATCCGTGTGAGGAATAATCGAAAACTCCTGGTCGCTATATATGTCGACGATGGACTCATTGCAGGCAGCGATGATAGAGAAATATCATCATTTCTCAATAAATTACGAAATACATTCAAGATCACTGAAGGGGACTTTGCTTGTTATCTTGGTCTGCAGATGAACAGATTCAGTGACGGTAGTATATTCATAAACCAAAGTATATACATAAATAAAGTACTGAATCGTTTCAATATGCAAGATTGTAAACCAATTGCAACACCCTGTGATACTGGAGTTTATCTTGTTGGTGATTCTAGTGAAGAATTGGATAGCAGTGTACCCTATCGTGAAGCAGTGGGCAGCCTCATGTACATTATGACTGGATCTCGTCCAGACATTGCTTTCGCCATAAGTATAGTTTCAGAAAAACTAAGTTCACCTAAGATATCCGATTGGCGTATTGTCAAACGCATATTGAGATATCTTAAAGGAACCATCGATTTCGGATTGTTCTACAGTGCGAAAAATCAGAGAATTCTCAGAGTATACAGTGATGCCGACTACGCTGGTGACACACTCTCCAGGAAATCGAGATCTGGTGTTGTATGTATGTATGCTGGATCTGCAGTAACCTGGTTCAGTCAGAAGCAGAAGAGTGTTTCTCTCTCCACCACTGAGGCAGAATATATTGCTGCAAGCGAGGCAACCAAGAAATTGATTTGGGTAAAACGTCTACTTGGTGAAATCACTTCATTTGATGGATATGTCACCCTATATATGGATAGTGCAAGTGCTATTAAACTTGTGAAAAACCCTGAGTTTCATAAGAAATCGAAACATATCGAAATACGTTTCCATTTCATACGGAATAAATATCAAGAAGGCGTTATGGAAGTGGAGTTCATTCCTAGTGAAGAACAAGTAGCAGACCTCTTGACAAAACCTTTATCGAGAGTGAAATTTTTGGAATTTCGAAAACTGCTTGGTGTACAGTGTGTACGGAACCTTGACGAATGATGTACAAATATCCAGGATGATTTTAGGAGGAAGTGTTAAATTTATAAAATTATCATCCTGTATATGTTGATCTAGTGTGCCATTCATTCTATTGATATTAGTTCAGTTGTCTGTCGATAATAATAAATATTGTCAATCAGATTTGTATCTTCTTATAAAGTAGATTTCCTTACAATTCCCATTGGAATTATAGTTTCTACCACATAGCTCAACACAGGAGAATTGAGAAATATAGTCGACGGAAAAATTTTGTAACCAACTTGTATATTGAAAGGCGATTAATGATCTCGAACATTAATATTAGCAAATGGTGCATGAAATTGATCTCTAATCCTGATGGTGTTATAGTGATGAACATTTTTATTCACTTCAAAAACTTATCTGTTTTCATATAAGTATATACAGACATATTGATGACATATACAGTATGATGCAAATGTATGGAATAAATTCATTTCAAAACAAGACGACTTCCGAAAAAAATCCAAAAAGTAGAGTTCAGAACTTTTTTATCGATGTATTTTTCGATGTTCAATTCTCAGTAGAAGATCTCTGCAAGATTCAGTTAACCAGATGATAATCAATTTTAATTTCAATCTTCTTTCGCAAAATTTTGACTATTGGATAGACGATCAGTAGACCTTTCAAACGAGGTGTCACATATGACCCCTGTTTGTATTTAAAAAAACCGTCCATTACTCCAACACCGGTGACGTAACATCTCTCATATGAATGTCATGAGATGAGGTTTCAAAAATTAAAACTCATGTGTTTTTGGAATTTCTTCAAATGTCGCCCATTTCGGAAATAATGAATTTATTCCATACATTTGCATCATACTGTATATAGATACTAACGATAACATAAGTAGATAGGTAAAGATAGATACAAAGTGTAAATAAATGAGTACGAGCAAAAGAACTTCACTTCCATGTGTTATTTGACATTTGTTATTTCTGATGATTGATGTTTTCACGACTATGAAGAAACTTTCGACTTGGGCTGAAGATTTTATCGACTGTGGACTGTCGAACTGATTGATGGATTTATTGAATCTCGCAGAATCAGAAGTGGGAACGTCTTACTCCAGTGAAAGTATCATATGATAGGAATAAGCGTGTTGAATCATTTTTATCTGATAAGAATCATTGATATCACAATCTTGGCATGTCGATGGAAAAAAACGGCTTGTTGAGATAATCAAATATCGAACAAAAAATCCATATAAAAGTATGTGTGCAAGAGATATCTTCACACTACTCCGCTATGATTTCCATTTTGAAATTCGCGGTACTGATGGTGTTCATAGCCAGTTACAGGTGAGTTGAAATTTTCTCAAACCGGTATTGATAACTGACTCGATCAAATTTCAGTTTCGCAGATGATTATGTTCTGAACAGAAAAAGGTTTCCTCCAAATTTCTTGTTTGGTGCCGCTACATCTGCATACCAGGTTGAGGGTAAGTCAATATTTAGAATTTCGAATAAGTTAACATTGATGATGGTTTGAATCAGGTCGAAACATATTCGAACCACTTTGTACAATTCACAATCATAAGTTGGGTTATCATTGCCCCTATAAATTAACGAGTTGGTTTCATGGGGTGGCGGAAATTTGATCGAAAGACAAATGATAGAAAAACATTTGATAGAAGTCTTTTGATCGAAAGTGTTTTTGATAGAAATGCATTTGATCGAATGTTTTATGGTAGAAAATACATTTGATAGAAACATAAATGATAGAAAATACAATTGATAGGAAAAATATTTGATAGAAAATACACTTGATAGAAAATACACTTGATAGAAACAGCATTTGATAGAAAACTCAACGGGGCTACGCTCAAGTTAGGTCAGTACGTTTGTGAAGATATGATCCTTCTTCATATATTTGAGAAGAAGGAGCTAGATGGAAATCGAAGCTTATGAATTCATTGATACCACAAACTAATGAAGACCTTGCTGAAATCACAACCTGGGGAACCAACAACCTAGTTGAATTCAACGCCACCAAAACTCAAGCCTGTATTTTCTCTAGAAAGGCGGAACTCAGTATGCCCAATATTGTAATGTCTGGCATCACCATCCCCACCAAGTCCACCATATCTATGCTCGGTATTTCCATCAGCAACACTCTTTCATGGGATAATCATGTCAGATCCATCGCAAAAGCTGCTTCACTAAAACTCGGATTCTTGTTCCGTGCGAAAAGCACCCCAACAGCTTCTCATGATCTACAAAGCGCGGATACGACCTGTTCTAGAATATTGTTCACACATATGGGGTTCAGCACCAAAACATACGCTGATGCTCTTAGATTCCATCCAGAGGAGAGCCATTCGCCTGGTGGGTGACGCCATACTCACTCACTCTTTGACATCATTGGAACACCGTAGAAAGGTTGGCGACCTTTCACTTTCCTATCGATACTTCCACGGAAAATGTTCTTCGGAAATCTCTGCTATAGTCCCTTCACTAGCAATGCCAGTCAGACGAACTCGACAAGCCCAGTCAGCACATTCTTTCGTTGTCAACCTCGAAAGATGTCGAACAGCACTTTATCAAAACTCCTTCATCCATAGAACGGCTAGGCTCTGGAATTCATTGCCTGAGGAAGTATTCCCAACAACATACAATCTCCAGAAGTTCAAAAAAAATACCTACCTCATGTCCCTATCCTCCCTAGGAACGCACGATGTTCTCTGAACATTATAGGGATTTCCTTTCGTGCGCTTCAAGCGATAAAAAAATGGGGGGACCAGAATTACTTCTCAACATCATTTTGATCTTTAATCAAAAGACATCTCACATTTAATTCTTAATTAATATCAGATATGCATAAACACCCTCATGATTATTAATCGTTAATTGTTAATTCCTAATTGTTAATTTAATCGAATCTATGAACCCAGCATCACCAAAACACGACACAAATTCTTTCACTTTCTGACATTTATTCGTTCTGGCAGAGTGCAATCTTCGCTCTGCAGTGCAAATACCGCTGTAAGTTTGCATTGCTTATGGGACATTTCATATATGAGGGAAATATTCGATTCAATTCGTTTCGTAGGTGCCTGGAATGAAGATGGCAAATCAGTAAGCACTTGGGACAATACCACTCATGCTGATCCTGATTCCATAGCTGATGGAAGCAATGGAGACGTTGCTTGTGATTCGTATCACAAATACAAAGAAGACGTAGCTATTTTGAAAGAAACCGGCGTGAACCATTACAGATTCTCTCTGGCTTGGACCAGAATTCTTCCTACTGGTGAGTCTCCCAAAAACATTGAACAGTATCAATCGACTTACTTATTCTTGAATCAGAAATTAAGTATATGAAACCTATGAAACCATTGGAGGTCACTGAGATACTTGAAAAACTGTACCAATATACAGGGTGTAACATAAGTCCGTTAAAATATTTAAGTGACGTATTCCTGAAACAATTTCGAGAAAAAATTTTTTTATAAACTTGTGTCCGGAAAAGCTTCGTTTCAGAAATACAGGGTGTTGGAATCGAATTTTTGTTTGCCTTTTCAATATAACTCCTGCAAAAAACAAGTTATCTGCTGAAAACCTGATGCCCAGGTTTTTTTACGTGGAAAATCATAACTTCGCTTTAATTTTCATGTAATATCTAGAGGGTGCTTCGTACGCTGTCATTAATTATTTCAAATTGCCTTACAATAATGATCCACCTCACTTCGATTAGATGCTGTGCTCTTAAAACTTTGCGAATATGTTTGGGGATTTTGATACCTTCCTGTAATTGACCCGGGTATAGGTTTCCACACTGGTCATTGTTCAACCGCTGATTGATACATTGTAAAACATTAACACATAGGTTGGATCACCATAGTGATCCACGCGAGTACTGACGTTACAATCTCAGGTGAGTACTGAGTTGCGATTTTCTCATTTTTTCATTACAATGACTCATTTTTCAACTTCAGCACATGGAGAAAAGGGTGAGGGTAGGGGATATCAACCCCCATAATGATAATTTGCTATCACAATAGTTTGCAGAGACTTCATAGACTCTGATCACATTGAGAGCGAATCTGAAGATGAAATCGATCATGTAGAATTTAGTGGCCACAATTCGGAGTCCAACCAAGAAACTGATTCTGCAACTATGCAAAATGATGATCAATTCCTGAGCTTATCTATACCAAGACCTTTTCATTTGGGAAAAAATGGGAATACCAAATGGGAAACACATAAACTGAACACTGCGGTGCGTACTCGCTCATATAATAATATCGCTCATCTTCCAGGACCGAACGATATCGCAAGACATGCTGATTCAGAATATGACTGCGTGAAGTTCTTCTAGAATCATTATCGCACTGGTATGAAACATTAACAGGTATCAAGCTGTTGATATCTAGAATACTGAATTCATTATAAATTATTGTTCCTGTATCTTTTACTATTTTACTATTTTTGTGCTTCCAAGGGGAGGGGTACTATCCCTTCTTTATCGATGCATGTTACTTAGCTCCTAGGGCGATAAGTGAAGTTGCTCTAAAACTTAGTATGTGGTAGACTGGTAGGTTTTGACAAAATAGACTCCGTCTCTGGTCCGTATAGAATGATTATTGAATGGATTGAAGATAGGACGATTCTTCCATTGCGAAGGAAGTTCAACCACCGGTTGCTTGAACATCTGATCATTTCAGGGTTCCCGGACCAAATCAACCAGGCCGGCGTCACCTACTACAAGAATCTCCTTCGAGAACTGAGAGCCAACGGCATCGAGCCTTTTGTCACCATCTACCACTGGGACATGCCTTTGACCCTACAAGAACGAAACGGTCTCCTCAACGAGTCTTTCATCGATTGGTTCGCTGACTACGCAGCTGTCTGCTTTGATCTCTTCGGCGATGACGTCAAGATTTGGACCACATTCAACGAGCCCAAGGGAACCTGCTTGTAAGTGGTGGGTGGGTTCTAAATTCGTGAAACTGAATGATTTGAAAGCTTAGTCTCTCTGAACTAGACTGTTGGTTCAGACGAGCTATCCCTTGTAGACGAGTGTCCTGTAGTTGTCACAGTTCCGTTAGAGTTCGCAGGTAATGCCTTCTAGAATCAGCTGGGTTATATCTCCTGATGGTTCAGGCAGGAATGACACCAAATACATACCATTATATCTGAGTTTATCCCCTCCGCCTTAGTCAGTGATGTGTGGTTCTAGACCTACAAAGTTCTTTTTTTGCTTTATCTGCCCTCCACCACCTCGAGAGTCCGGCTCCCACAACAAAGTATCTATGTTGTCAGCTCCATGGCACTCTGGGGATTCAATCAGATCCATCTAAGCTGAGAATTTATCTTGCTGGAGCTCAGTGCTCAGAGCAGCCTGGCTGTCTTCGATGCAGTAATGGATCTTTTGAAAGTGAGCGGAAAACTAATATCTCTAGAACCCACCATTATTCACTCCTTTTCAAGGCGTTAAGTGTGTTTTTACTACCAAGGTATTTTTCGTCGTTTTATGAACCACTAGTCAATGAAGACAAAGCCACCTCTGTTAGAATCAACCCGATTAGCAGGAATATCACTAAAAACTAGTAGGTATTCCTCTATAATGACATATGCTGTCTTGGTGCCTAGATTTCAATAAGAATTGAAAAGAAGTGCTTTCATAGTGACATAGGTCCACATTCCAGTTTGACAGAACTATTATGGAATATATTGCTAGTGGTAAAAAATATAATATACACCTTATTAGTAATAGTAGATTGTTTCATTAGGATCAAAAGTGACACTTTGTTTGACAAGCGAATTTTGCATTTGCGAGGCGGAGCGTTTAGCGAAGCCGAGCGAAAGCAAAATTTGCGAAAATTGGGTGAATTGAAAATGGGACCAAACGTCTACATCACCTTCCCTGCCTTCTTAGTGTCAGAAAATAGCTACTTTCTATGCGGCCACTCCAGTCGCTAGAGGAGCAAAAAGGACTGCAACCGTACATCAAATCAGGTAGTCCTGATTGTTTCATATGTTGTTCGGGATGGTTAGAGAGTGAAAATCCTGAGTTTGTTATCTCCACTCCTCTGCGTTTTTCGCTATCTTGAAAAAAACACCCAAAAAAACAACAATTCTTACAGATTTTTGCTTATAACTAATGAATAGCGCATGAAAGCTAAATGCATTATATCCAGTCTTATAGAATATGATATTCTCTACAAAAATGACTGGTTGACTTTGTGTCCACGACCAATAGCAAAGGAGGTATAGGGCAACAAAAATGAATAAATCCGCAATTCAAGAAAAAATGCCATTTCTCCGTCTTTTTGGAACGCTCAAATTCTATGAAATACTGGTTCATAGTGAATATGTATTCTAATTGAATATGAATGAAATGTAAGTTGTCTTTGAAAAGTACGTCTCGGAAAGTTTTTACCACCAATATCAAGGGTTGAGGGTCGAACTAACGAGAAACCGGGATCATGTAATTTTTATCCAGTTGCCCAGGAGTGTTGTAGTCATGTCTTCTTATCAACTACTTCCTCACTCACATTCTAATGATAAAATATGGATATGGAAAGTAACAAATGTTTATTGCCTGAAACTAAATTCATTAGAACATTGTATATAAATAACATGAACTAGTGGAAATTACAGTCGAGGTCGTTTCGGCTGGAAAGGCAGAGGGGCATCATCAACGTAGTCCTCATTTTCAGCTAATACAGCAAAATCTTCGTCGTCGTCATCGTTCTGGCCGATCACAATTTCTGGTGTGTTTTCGCAGGACTGCCCAACACAATGTTATCTGCACAAGCTGGAATAACAGTTCAGTCCAGCTTCTCTGCAGCCACAAGCTGCAGTACACAGCCACAAGCTGCAGTACAGCCGGTGAGGCATTTGCATGATATTGTTTTCAGGAGCGCCGGAGGTGCTGCATCTCTTGCCATCTTCACAGCAACCAATCCTCTGCTCCCTCTCACCTCTCACCCATTCAAGAGGATTCTTGTTATTATTCAACCACTGCATCACTAGGTGGTACATCCGCAGTGGATGAAAGTGGGATTCATCTGTCGTCGGCGGAAATTTGGCCGAATCAATCTTAGCAGATCGGTGAGGGATTGGTCGAGGTCACCTCCATATAATTCGACCAAAATGCGGCTCTCCTGTCTTTGAAATTTCTTCAGTAGTGGCAAACGTATCATGAAATGTTTTTGCATCCTCCTGCAAGAGTTGTCTTGAACGGAAAATGTTGCTAATTTTCTTTTTTTCGAATCCGAACATGTTGGAGGTGGTGTCGCAGCATTTTATTGCATGGGAGACCAGTAAGATATCAGAAAAATCATATTTGAATGATTTCGGGGAGTAGAATACATCTGGTGAACTACCTATCCCAGTTTTCTCAAATACACATTCTCAGTTGCAGGGATGTTCCTGTGAGTGAAACAAGCAGGTCAATATCTTCGATAATCACAACAGACTTATATTGTCTGGCAAGGGTTCTTACAGTTCTGACGATTAGTACGTCAGCATCTTCTATAGCTTGTTTGGTTGTGATATTTGAAGCTTGTAGTGCAGATTCAAGAAGTTTGACGTACATTTCAAAGACAACTAACATCTCTACATCACCAGTATTCCATAGACTTTGAGCGATCCAAAAGGACGGAAAAATGGCAATTTTTCCTAAATTGTGAATTTATTCATTTTTGTCGCTCTATACCTCCTTTGCTATTGATGGTCGTGAAAACAAAGTCAACCAGTGATTTTTGTAGGGAATTTCATATTCTACAAGACTGAATATAATGCATTTGGCAATCATGCGCCGTTTAGGACTTGAAAGCAAAAACTGGAAAAAATGCTGTTCTTGGGTTGTTTTTTCCAGATAGCGAAAAACGCAGAGGGGTCGGGATGACGAACACTCAGGGTGTCCACTCTCTTACCATCCTGAACAACATATAAACAAATCAGGACTACCTGATTTAATGTAGGGTTGGACCCCTCTAACGACTGGAGCAGGCTTGCAGAAAAATGAAATATTCTCAACCCTAGATTCGTCGTGCCAAATAACAAAACAGAGGGATCTTTGGAGTACATATGCGCGCACAACGTCTTGCGAGCTCATGCTAAGGCCTATAGAATATACGAGAAGAGGTTCAAAGCGACACAAGATGGTGAGTGTACATAGTAACTGTAGATTGCAGATTGTAGAAGCGTCTTTGTACGAAGGCGCTGAAGGGCCACCTATACGTTTATTTTTCGAATCCCGACTTTAAAGTCGGACCCCGGTTAGGAATAACGTTTTTCCTACGAGCTTCATATCAGATGAAAAGAAAAATAAAAAAAATATATAACTTATTGAAAAATGTGACTATACAACCTTCACATATAACAATAAAATATAATTATAGAAAGAATATAAATGTTCCAAACCAGTGGGATTTTTGGGTAGTTTTACTTATCCGCACGCCGCGGAAAGTATTACTTTGCGCACGCAAATGAGTGCGGAAAAGTGCTACTAAAATTTATTATCAGTCCACTCGCCCATGTCATCAGAACAACACCGATTTCAGAAACTCACTTTTTTATTAAATACTTAGACATCTGATAATCGATAGCACTGTCAACATAAAAAGTGAAAGATCTTTGAGATTTTAGGAGAACTTATCGCTGCAGAATTCGAAGTCATAACTGTCTTTATGCACTAGCGGGCCGTAAAGTGCACTTTACCGCCCGGTTTTGCGGGCGTTAAGTCGCACTTTACCGCCCGCGGGCTCATTATGGCCCACGGGCCGTAAAGTACACTTTACCGCCCGCTGTTCTCAGTCACCTTATATCCACATATCAATTTATAAAAAAAACTATGATCATATTCCTAGATTCTTATATATCCAGCGGTATATCATAAACTTCTTCTTCATCCGATTCCATAGTCTCGCTATTATTATTATCACTAATTTTACTTTTCAATCAAAGAATGACAATTCAGCTCGTTTATTGGATGTATTGCTATAGACAACAACCATCAGATTGATTGACAACATCAAAATGAGTTAGGTTTATATACTGGGTATGCATATTGTAAAATTCTGAAGAATGAATCTCTTCTACAGCTGAAAGAGTTTTACTATTACGATAATTGCAATATTCGTACGATAATTTTCATATGTAAATCATCCATGAATATTACGCTTCTCTTGATTACTGAATTTATACGTAACAAATTAAATTCTGGGGAATATTAGTTTATCGAAATCTATAGTCATTACTTATGAGTCAGAAAATAAACCACTAGTGCATAAAATTTTGTATGTATCTCGTGCGTGAAATGCGTTTATTGCCTTCAGCGTGTAATGGCCCTCGGCTAGCGCCATCGGGCCATTATTCACGCCACAGGCCATAAACGCCTACTTTACGCCCTTGATACATAAATAACTATTTCTTGAGTGATGTTACAAGAAACCATTTTTCCGACTTTATGAGTTTCAACTATCCGAAGAGTGTATCATCATAGATTTTTTTTTCATAGGAAGAGTAGGGATTGTGTTGGATAGCTACTCTTTCGTGCCAGGATCTGACAGTGCTGAGAACATCACAGCAACAGAAACAACATACCAATTTGAAGTGAGTATTCCATCTGATCATATACAGGGTGGTCCTTTTTATAGTAGCAAAATGTCGGCCACTGATGGAAGACCTCATTTTGAGAAAAAAGTCGCATAGAATATAGGTCGATTGGCGTCATTAGGGTTATATCAATGTTTTTCATTACGTATTTATATAGTGAACATGTGAGATTTTGAAAAGGAATATTCTCAGAGAAGATACCATCAAAATCTGGAATAATGAAGACAATTTTTTTTGTTCGGAAACTAGAACGTAAAATGTGATTTTCCGTAGAGGTCGAAGTAAATAGTATATTACATAACAAGAGTTGTAAAACGCATATTACGCACGAAGTGCCATTGTTTTGTGTACAATATCCATCACTTACAGTAGTAGTCGTTGGAAAAAATTATTTTCATTGTCTCAAGTGACTTTGCATGGACTTCCATCGAGCAACGACCTAGCCAAAATTGAAAATTGTCTCAATTTGTCCCATTCTTATAGTTGGGTTGGTTCGCCAACCCCGTTTTCAACGGAGACTACCCGGAAATTATGAAATCCCGCATCGGAGCTCGCAGCCGCGCAGAGGGCAGGAAATCTTCCCGTCTGCCCGAGTTCACCGAGGCTGAAAAGGTCGCCCTCAATGGTTCCGCTGACTTTTTCGCCCTCAACACGTACTCGACCTCCTTGGTGGTTGCCATCGAAGACCCACCGATCAGCTATCCGCCCAGCAGGGACCAGGATATGGGCGTGACGAATTACCAGCCCGACGAGTGGGAGAATAGTACGATGAACGGGATGAAGGTAAACTGGATTCCATAGATGAAAACCCAAAGTCGTTTCCACCACATTTATTGAAATGATCAAAGATCAATCGTAACGGAACATGTTTCGGGCCTATATAAGCCCATCTTCAGCCAATAGAAAGTATCATAGTTATGGAAATGAAAAAAAATAGACATACAAAATAGTCCAGTACTCTTTTTATAGTACAAGTACTCTTTTTTGAGGCTGCTGTCCTCGTACTCTATCTTTTTCCATTTGGGACGTATATGTTCTCTTTTTTCGAAGTCGGACCATATTAGACGGTTTATAGTCAAAATTTGTTGATGATAAGTAGGCAAGATGAAAAAACCGATGTCATCTGATGTTCTGTGGTTCTTTCAATCTAAAATCTTGTGATCTGTGCTTTCTGTTCTATGTCCATAGATTCCATGGCTATATATTTTAATTTATGTACCTGAATTGTACCTGTTTTACTGAAATCAGTGAATATGTTTTCTTTATATTTTTTGTTTTAATTTTCAATTTTTTGACTCATGATATTGGTAAAAATGGGCAGTTGTTTCATAGGTAGGAAGAAATCTGATTTTCAATTCAAAGGCATTTGACCTTGAGAAATGAAAAAAAAAGCGCCGCAGGCAGTTGTTTCAAAGGTAGGAAGAAATCTGATTTTCAATTCAGAGGCATTTGACCTTGAGAAATGAAAAATAAATCGCCTGCGGCGATTTTTATATTTCTTATAATTATTTATACTTGATGTACTCTTTATTCATTTTCAAAATCTGTTCACCCTACCTGAACATATGGGGGTAGTATGCGTCAAATCCGGTAGTTCTGATTTTTTGCAGACTTGTTCATGATGTTGACCTAATGAATGATCCAAGTTTGTGACCTCGAGCACCGAACGCAACTTTGTCAATAATCGAAAAAACTGCGAAGAAGTCGTAATTTTCTCAAATTTTGGCGATTATAACCCTGAAGAACTAGTTTTTGAAATCTCTCAGGACGTTTTTAAAGCATATCAAATTTGCTACAATATGATACAAAAACTGTCTCTGTAGACCCACTATTTTTCGAGATTAAGCTTTTCAAAGTTTATAATTTTTTTCGAACTTCGCAATTTCTCGCAATGTTTTAGGCGTCAGTCGAATATACTCTAGCGGGATGAAGTTTCAATTACCTCCGACGGAATGTGCTAGTACTGTTCGTGTGAAGTCAAGAGTGCGACCCACCTGTAGCACGTTTTCAAACTTTTTAGGCAATCTAAACCCAATGAACTGTATGTAAACTTGTAACTGAAAGGGACCCATTGTGAACAACCAGTGAGGCAAAAATATTTTTCAGGCAACCCGCAGTGTTCACGGATACCTATCTCTCTCTATCTTGTGTTGGCTAATGGGAAGTGCTCGCATAATTTGAAATATTTTCTCGTTTTTTGCTTCTATTTAAGAGTAAACGTGATTAAATAAAAATATTCATTTAGGAAAAAGGATAATGTTGTAATCAATTATCATTAAAAAATTATTACTGATTTTTTTATTGACTTTAAAATGAAATTTCAATATTACTCTTACAGGATCAGGAAGTCAAATGAATACAAAATTGAAATTATATATTTTTATTCAAATGTCACAATAGTTGTACAGGGTGAGCGAAGCACAATGTCTCAGAACTATCAGAAGGAAAAGAAAAACGATAGGAAAAATTTGAAAAGAGGTTCTTGAATGGTATTGATGAGTGCATTTTGAGCAAAATTTCCATAGGTTCCTATTCCTCCATTAGGTCACTCATTGGCATTACTACACCCACTGTTGGAAATTGATTAAACTACTTATTCTTTCAGGTTTGAAATTTTTAGGTCTCTCCTTCTTACTTTTTGTCTCAGTGTGTTCACTTTTCTCCTCAATACAATATCCTTCTCTAATGAAACAGTTTGAGTTTCTTTATTGATCAACCTCGAAACTTGGGAGCTGGAAGTGGTAGGCAAGTCGAAGTCAATAACATGGGAAACTTCTTCCTTTGGACCCAACCCAGTTAACACAAACATCTATGAGATGTCGCATTCATGGCAGTTGATGTCATAAAAGCGAATCACAATATTACATCGCTGATATCTACACGGAATTCCTCGTGTGACAGATAGTTCGCAAATTCCATCACATTCTGTAGGATCTGAGACCATTATGGATATAATATCGAAGAAGCTCCTTGACATAACAGAGACTATAATTTTGGAATCTAAAATTTCAGTAGTTGAGAGTCGTAATTCGATGTATCTTAATTGACAAACTGCTTCACATTGTGCAGAATGATAAAACAAAAATATGCGTCAATTTGTGAATCTCTCTCACATCTCAAGGAAATTCATTTAATATCGAACAATACTTGGAATTATCGGTCTACTCTCATACTCATGAATGTAGCGCACAATGTGACTTATGATAAGATTCGTACACACTCGGTCGGTGTCGGTCTGACTAATGTACACGTGTCCGTAAATTCTTCAGCAGTGGCATGCTTTCGTATCGTCCATTTCGATGTTCCAGTTCATTCGGTGTTAGTATGCAGTTCGGGTTTGACGTTATTGCTCACATACTGAAGCATGTTTTTCTAATAGTAAATTATGATTGACTAAAGATGCTATGTGCTTCTCATCTAAGTTACAGGGTAAGTACGATTACCTACAACGTTCATAACTTGATACAATACTGGTTGACAATGAGGAAAGGGTAGACGACACGTCGCAATTTCAAGACGATGATGATACTTACAATGTTAGCTTTGAAGATATCATTTTGAGATCAGGGTGTGAGTGAACGTGCACATTCTGATTGTACCTACATATATATAAGAATTGGTGCTACTCACGGTTGAACTATAAGTGGTGGGACCTAAGGTGGGCCCAAAGTCTGATTAAGAACAAAATTTTAGCAACATGAATGGAACGAAAAAATGCGCCGCAGCTATTCTCTATCTCCGTTGTCACCCGGTATGAAATAGTAGGTATGTAGATATGAAGTGACTCAAACACTTTTCAATATTCTCATTATGGTTATTCTCTACTCACTCTATAAGATAGTATTTCTTATCTATACTTACCCTATTATAGTTGTATAGATGATCAACAGGAAATGGGCAAAGAGAAATCAATTGATTGTTCTTATATTGATTTCCAGATGCCAAATCACAAAAGACATCTGGACCATTACCTTGGAATAATTTGAAATATTGAGCAGGGATTGGTTTCCATATGCTACAACGGAAGGAGCGATGAGGAGCAGATATTGGATGTTCTTGGCTACATGATGTGTTCGCATAGTTGGATTGATCCATTGATCTCATTCAAGTTAATTTCTTCACTATTATACAGGGTATATCTTCAACAGTTAACGCGATCTATATATGGAGAACTAAAAGTAGCACGATTCTTAAAATTTGTAGGGACGATGAAGGAATTATGGGAAATCCTTCTAAAATATTTTCGTTATTGTGAAGCTTCTGATTTTTCCGAAAGTGACTTCATCTTTGTTATTTCCAATGGAACACCCTGTATTATTCAACATTTTTGAATTCCTCTCATAATTTTGATTCAAATTAATGCATCATACCTCATACCCAAAATGGAGCGTTCTTGAGTTATTCGAGTTTTTCTTGAAAAAGTTCGACAAAATTTGTCATTCAATGCAGCCTTTTGAACATAGAAAATTTTTATGGGAATTTAAATTTTAAGTGATATGCATATTGATTAAATCGTGAATATTGATTGATCTGGAACATTGAAAATCTCAATTTTTTTCGAATGAAAACCATATTTTTTTCCATCATAATTCAATTCTATAATAAAAATGAGCCCTAGTTCGAAGTGACTTCCCTATACCCAGAACCAAAAATTTTGGAGATATTCCAAAAACAGTTTTTAATCCTGCATACTTTTTCCAGAAAAACACGAATAAGTCAAGCACGCTTCATTTTAGGTATATATATATATACTTAAGTAAAAGTATGCAGGATTAAAAACTATTTATGGAATATCTCCAAAATTTTTGGTACTGGGTATAGGGAAGTCACTTCGAACTAGGGCTCATTTTTATTATAGAATTGAATTATGATGGGAAAAAATATGGTTTTCATTTGAAAAAAAATGAGATTTTCAATGTTCCAGATCAATCAATATTCACGATTTAATCAATGCATAGCACTAAAAATTCAAATTAGGGTATGATACATAATTTTGAATCAAAATCATGACTTGAAGAGGCCATATTTTGAGGAAAATTACTGTCCGGAGCTTCAATAGTATAGAGGAATACAGAAATGTAAAAAAATGCAGGGTGTAATTTATATTGAAAAAAAAAAGATGCCCTCACTTCTGGAAAAAACGGAAGCTTGACGATAACAAAAATATCTTAGTTGGATGCTTCATGTTTCCTTCACCGTCATTACGAATGTCCAGAATTGTGCCACTTTTAGTTCTCCATATACCGGGTGACACAGACTCATGGTATACGCCCCTTTTCTAATTTTTTTCTTCTAGCTATATTTCTAGAAGCTGAAACATCGAATATGCTCACTAGAGGGCACTTTCTCACATTTTAGGATTTTTTCCACCTTTCCGTTTTCCTGGAAATGACTTCAACTTTCGATTTTCAAACGGAACACCCTGTACTTTATTTCATGATTGGTTGGAGATTATTATAACGAATTCAACGATACCGGGTTTGATTGGGTTATTTCAAACGATCACGAAGATATTTGCGTTCGAAGTTTCGATATTGCGCCGTCACAACCATTGATCATAATATGGATACTTCAAACGTAAATATCTTCGTGATCGTTTGAAATAACCCAATCGAACCCGGTATTGTATTTGTTATTATAGTCTCTAACCAATTGAAGAATAAAATATGGGGTATTCCATTCAAAAATCGAAAGTTGATGTCAATTCCAGAATAACTGGAAGATAAAGAAAGTCATAAAATGTGAGATAGTGCCCTGTATATAGTCAGCATATTCGATGTTCTAAATTTCAGTAATATAGCTAGAAAAACAAAGGAGAAAGAGGGGTAGACCATGAGTATGTGTCACCTGGTAATCCCGGTATAGATATCGCCTTAACTCGTGAAGATATTCCCTGTATAATAATCATTTCAACAATGTCCAGGCTAACGCTGATTCTAAAATTTTAATCATTGTTAGATGTAGCTATAGTTTTGCTCAATATTACATGTACGTACATATTTTGATGTGAAATGAGATTAATTTTCAATAAAATCGAGTAGCCTTGTGAAACGTTTGAGTTATCTATTTGACCAGAGATTCGACACCTATCAGTCCTCTCATTGAATACCTTCATCAATCTACATGTGATTTCACTAGAGAATCAAAACTAAATGTGTATGTGGCATTTTTGAGAAGCACAATATAATTTTCTCAGGGCCGCTATTATATCAGTATAATAATCGAAAAGAACCTCACATTTAGAAATGGTCGATGGTTTACCAAACCTCACATTTTGATTATAATGTAACCTCAATGTGAGTCTAATTTAAACGTGAAATCTAGAGTCACATTCAGCTAACTTTGAGTCCCATTCGGCATCTAAATGTGAATCATAAAATGACCAAAAGGGTCCGGAATAGCAGTCATTGTGATTTCAGTAGGACTCTCAATTCGAGTCACGGATGTGATGTGTGGCATGAATGTGATGCCCTCTAATATCTCTGGGATCAATCTGTGTTAACTGGGAAGTTATGAACGTCCACAGATGCATCCTGAAAATAAATTTCTAGCTATTTTTTTCATTTTAAATAGGTGCAAACATACTTTTTTTCATTATTAATCAACTAGGTACCTATGAGTTTTCTTATTTTCCTGGGGGAATCAGCATTTTTTGGTAACAAATGCTGAGGAAATGAAAATATACTGGGTACAGCATCTGCTTTCAAAAACCTAGCAGTACCTGGTATGCCTGTTGGTTGGCAGGAAATGCTCCCCACAAAGCTTGCTGGCTTTTAGTTGGAGTCCAATTCTCTCTACGAACTGCCTTTATCCATAATTCGAGAATGTCTGGTCTTTTGAATGGAAAACTGCAACGAATAATATTACTCAATATCAATATGGAAGTATTTAACTTTGACAAATAATATAGGTATAGTTTTCGAACATATTCTGAGACTGGACATTGTAAACCTAACTGATGATCATTTCATGAGCTATATTTTTCAAAAATCTGATAACAATATTCAACTTACCCATGGAATACTAATTTCCTTTTGTTTTGTTCATTCTTGCATCCAAAGGCGACACAATAAATCACCATTGTTTATCAATACTAACCACAAACCTTCTCAACAATCAGTTCAGTCACAGTCAGTGTTCACAACAACAAATTCAGTCCTTTTGTTACAACAAAACACGCCAAATGAATAGATATTTCACCTCGTATTTCACATGAACTAAGACAATGAACTTATGTCTTCACTTGCTTGCCTATGTAGATGACAGAAAAAATTCTTTACTACTTAAATTATTAGATAAAAGAAAATGTATACACCAATCCACCATTAAACAACACGAGTTGGAAGAGGACAGGTATCCGTAAATCATGCTATCTTTGTTGCAGCTGCCCCTGACACACTTTGTGCTATTCGAGAGAACGATCGTTTCCCTTCCAGTTGTATTGAGATCATTGTCTAAACCACGGGACTTTTTAGCTAGCAAGATGGCGCCTGGTTGTAGGGCCATCACATAATGAGTATTGGTTTTCTCTCAGGTACCTGCTACCATGGACACATACATGCTTTGGTTTCTCATGATTGATTCTGTTGTTAGATCATTTCTCTTGATGGCTGCTATCCACATTTCTCTTCTTATTCTTGATAGATCTTTCATCTGTGGATAATGCACAAAGTTTTTCACAGAATCACAGTGGGAATGTGAAAAAACTAAGCAAATTTTCCCGATCTGCACGGCTTCCACTATCCACCACAATACACGTTACCCGCTTTTTCCTTTAAAATCATATTCAAGAGGGCTAAATTAATCTACTTTTTTGATCTTTAATATTTCTTTATTTCCTAACAAATAAACTCATCAACTTTTGTTGTACTTCTCTGTTTTATTTCATTATTCGTAGCTCAGCTCCTCATTTTCTTTCTTATCATCTCATCATGAAAGTACAGGGCTTCGATTGTACCATTGTACCTATAATCAGGGTCAAAATTCAATCAGAACGACATGATTGCAAAAATTTGCGAAGTTCGAAAAAAATTAAAAACTTTGAAAGGATCAATCTCGGAAACTAATGAGACTACGGAGACAGTTTTCAGATCATATTGTAGCAAATTTGGAGTTTTTTACAAAAACTAGTCCTTTAGGGTTATAATCGCCAAAAACTGGAAAAAAACTATGTTTTCGCAGTTTTTTCGATTTTTGACAAAGTTGCGTTCGGCGCTCAAGGTCAGATTATTCATTATAGGTTAACATCATGAACAATGCTGCAAAAAATCAGAACTACCGGATTTGAAGCATACTTTGATGAATAAAGTTACTGGATTGAAATAAATCATTCTAATGAATGTTGTGGAGATGACTTTGAACGTGCTTTGTATTTTGATAGATTCGATTTCCTTGAATCATCCTGGTATCAAATATTGTATACATACAGGGTATTTCTGAAATTGGGGCGATGAATAAAATGGGGTGTTCTATGATACATAATGAGAAGATAATTCATAAGAAGAAAATATTCAAGAAATATCATCTTCAGGAGCCACCTTTCAGGAGGATGTAGCTACCTTAGGAGATATTTTTCGACGCTTGTTCAATGAAACTTTTCCTCCTATTTTTGTTGTAGAAGCTGCTGGTGATGTTTGGCAGGCTAATTTCGAGACACCCTGTATATTCCTCGTTATCATAAACAGCAATGTTTCGTGGGTTGATAGACAATCGAAAGCATCTAATAAGACATTCGCTTTGTTATTTCAATATCTTCTACAATTTTCAGGTAGCTCCTTGGGGTATAAGACCACTGTTGAATTGGATAAACGATCACTACAATCAACCAGACATCATAATTACTGAGAACGGTACACCTGACAATACCGGAACCTTGCAGGATGTGAAGAGGGTATCCCTCATCCAGGTAAGGTAGATGGCATTCCATCAAGTAATAATAATAAATAATTTTTTTTTTGTGACGGGAAAAATTGTTGGCATTTCATCTCTGTTGGCACGTTGAAAAATGTCACTTTTCATAAATTACTTTTTTCCCGTGGGAAAAAAGTGATTACTTACAACCTGGAGCTAAAATCTACAACTTTTTTCCCTGGACTAATAAATAACTATATTTCTGTGAGGAAAAAAAAGTTTGAAATTTCATATCTGTTGACAGGTTATAAAATGTCACTTTTTATAAATCACCTTTTTCCCGTGGAGTATATTCTTCCTGGATATACAGTGTCATTCATAAAGTCAGCATCATGTGGGAAAAACTTTTATTAACGACTTATTTTGAAATTCGAGTTGGACGTCAGGCTTTGCTTCAAAAAAGATGGAAAATGGCCTACTCAATCGGGGTCACGTGACTTTCGCTACATGTCAAAAGCAGAGATTCATCAAGTCAAGTAGCTTGATATTTTAACAAACTACTTGACTTGACTTGAAAATCAAGCTCGTGGCAAATTACGTACTTGACTTGACTTGAATTTGAGATATTTATTACTTGACTTGAAATCAAGCTACTTGATAATACTTGATCTTGATACGCACGAGTCGCACGGCGTATATTTCTGCAAGCTCGCTCACGCTTAGACAAAATACGGGGGTTCCCCGAGATCCGAGCTGACTGAATCGATCGCGCAGTCAGTCTTACGATGCCATTTTCATTTCATCAGTTATATACAGGGTGACTCACGGTCAATGGTAGGTTAGACGTTCACGTTTATGATAGGAACGCAACGCAGGATTTTTCTGAAAATTTCGCATCTCACATTTCATCACCGGTACTATCGATCTAATATATTTTCAAAATCACGACGTTGCCGCTTCTATAGAAAAGTAGGAACCACTTTGTTATTTCGAATTGAACACCCTGTATTTTATTGCATTTTCAGATTCTCCTTGAAGAGTTGATTTCATCGATACATCACACTCGGGGTATAGCGGAAGAGATTATGGAGATATAGAGTTCTAAAAATCGAGATTTTTCAACTTCAGGAATTTTTTGTGTATGCGAAATTTTCAGAAAAATCCCGCGTCGCGTTCTCCATAAACGTCTAACCTATAACATCGACCGTGAGTCACGCTGTATAGATACACAATGAAACTGCTGAAAATCAAGTAGCTTGATAGAACTACTTGATTTTTCAAGTACTTGATAAATAATTACTTGACTTGACTTGACATTAAAAAACTTTCGCTTGACTTGAACTTGACTTGATTTCAAGTCAAGTCAAGTCAAGTAGCTTGAATATCAAGTCAAGCCGTGAATCTCTGGTCAAAAGTGAAATTTTTTCAAATTAACCGCTGAAAGTAGGCTTATTTGTTCGAATATCGAAAAAATTTACTTGAAAAAGTTGTTTCTATTCAAATTTTACATATGTGACTCGGATCTTATCTCTCTATTACATTTTTTAGATTTCGATATTTCTTAAAAAATTTCGAAATTCCTGTGGTATTAAATAAATTGTAAATTCGATATAACTACTTCATACCAGTAGCTTCATCGTGCTACTAACTTTCAATCACTAATTATCGACAAAAAGATGATTTTCTTCAGAAAATGATAATCTCCGCTTCAAAATTTTGTTATTCTTGATGCAAACATAACATCAAAATGCTGTTATGTTTGAGTCAAGCATTTAGAAACGAAATTCATTTGAATTTATTTTTTCAGTACTGAAAAGATCAGTTTGAATGAATTTCGTTTTTAAATGCTTGACGATATATCAACTTTGCATCAAAGATAACAGAATTTGGAAGCGGGTATTATCATTTTCTGAAGAAAATCATAATTTTGTCCATAATCAGTGATAATAAGTAATTGAAAGTGAGTAGCATGAAAAAGCTACTGGTATGAAGTAGTTTCGTGAAATAAACAATTCTTCAAATGATACAGAAATTTTGAAAAATTAAAAAAAAAATGAAAATCTTAAAGTTGCAATAGAAAGATCAAATTCGAGAAGCATGTGTAAAATTGAAATAGAAACAACTCTTTCAAGTAAACTTTTTCGATATTCGAACAAATAAGCCTACTTTCAGCGATTAATTTGAAAAAATGTCACTTTTGACATGTTGCGAAAGTCACGTGACCCCGATTGAGTAGTCCATTTTTCATTTTTTTCTAAGCAAAACTCAACCTACAACCCGAATTCCAAAATAAGACATTAATAAAAGTTTTTCCCATATGATGCCGACTTCATAAATGACACTGTATATCAAATAATATATACACTGTTGATGGCTTTTGGTGTGCTCATAGATTCAATCTATGGTGTGCTATAGTTTCGAAAAATAGGCAGTAGGCCAATAATACCGTCTTCGAAAAAGAACGGCAAGTCCTTTTATCTTCCATTCGCCTTCGTGGTTACGTAATTTTTTTTAAGTTCTGGTTCCCACGAGAAGGGATATCCTCAATGTTCAGAGAACATCGTGAGAACCAAGGGAAATGAGGTAGGAATTGGTGTTCTTCTTAAATTTCTGAAGGTTATATGCCTCGAGAAACACCTCCCATGGCAATGTGTTCCAGATCCTCGCTGTTCGTTGGATGAACGAGACTTTGGAAAGAGATGTTCTGCAGGTCTCCAAAGTGACCACGAAGGGGTGCGAAGCCTCAACTCAACAGGTTAAACAGGTTAATGTCGCAAGGACTGCCAAGGGAAGAACAATTGTTGAGATTTCAGAAGAGCATCATCCATGAAAATATCTATAAAATAGAGCCAGATCGCCAACTTTTCTACGGTGTTCCGGAGAAGTGAGTAAGTTTGTGAGCGAGGCATCACCCACAAGACGAATTGCCCTTTTTTGGACAGAATCCAACAGTTTCATGGTATGTTTTGGGTGCTGCACTCCAAATATGGAAACAGTATTCCAGGACAAGTCAGATCTGTGCCTTATAGATCATAAACAGCTGACTGGAAGTGAAATAGCTCCTCGCCCGAAACAGATAACCAAGTTTCTGGGATGCACTTCTAGCAATTGATCTCGCGTGATTTTTTCCAAGAAAGGTTATTGCTGATAGTAATACCAAGCATCGAAGTGGGAGTCTTCAAAGGTATGGTTAATCCTGACCAGCTTATCTTGGGCACAGTGAGATCGACTTTTCTAGAGAGAAGGCATGCTTGTGTTTTGTTCGCACAAGTATATCACATTTGAAACCATTAATGAAATTACAAAATAAAACAATTAAGTGCATTTACAATTTACATTACCTGGAACCAACTATTAATCTTTACAAACCAAAAAATCTGTTGAATTTATCATCTTTATATAAAATGAAAATTTGTTCATTTATCCATTTTGTGAGAAAAAAAATAAAAATATCCAACTTGAACTTTACTGAAGTAAATACAATTCATACTCATGCAACGAGACAGTTGAATTCATTAATAGCAAACCCATATAACTCCATCATTGGCAAACAATCAGTATTCTACAACGGAATCATTTTATATAATTCATTACCTTATGATTTGAAACATATTGATGATGAAACAAGATTCAAAGTCAATATGAAAAAATATATACTCATGACACAATAAACGGAGCAATTTATTCTCATTTGAATACTTGGAATGGTTTTATTTTAAATATTATGTTATATTGACATAACTTGTTAATTAGTTTTTTTTTTATTGTTTTATATATATATATATATATCATATGTTTATGTATCCCTATTATAAACAAATATGTTTCTTGGGGTAATAAAGAACAACAACAACAACAACAACAACAAGTCTACCAAGTTATTGGATCCCCATTTGGAAATTGTTGCCAAGTTCATATTATTTATGTTGTTAACATTTCTTCCTCGTTCGTTTCTGATTTGCCTGGCTGGTATATTGGAGCCCTGGTACTGGACATGAAGTTGCTTCCAACAATTCGTTGATATGGAGTAGAAATAGTATTGGTGCTAGAATTGATCATTGGGGAACACCATCATCCATCATTTATGATAAGAGAGTCAGATGAGACTCCGTCGACCTGGGGAGGCAAGTCATAAGATGGAAGCTTGGCGAGGGGTCCGTGGTACCAGACTCGATCGAATGCCTTGGAGATATCAAGTGTCACGGCTAAGGTTTCACCATATTTTTCAATAGAGCAGGTCACCAGTTGATCTCTGATGACGGAAGCCATATTGCCTATCGTTGATAATACCTTTGTTTACTACTAAACAACCACTATATTGTCATTTTTTTAATATCAAATCACAGAATTAGACTGACAGGAATTTGATTACTTCAAAAGAATGATAAGAATGCCTGCAAAAAGATGACTGCAACGCAGGTGTTAATACTGTTAAGAACTTCAAATGCATGTCATGTCGATAATCCTCAGATTTTTATGATAGCTTCTCAATATGGATTCGTCCTTTTTCGTGTCACAGAAAAAAATAGTAGATTGTTTTATTAGGATCAAAAGTGACACTTTGTTTGACAAGCGAATTTTGCATTTGCGAGGCGGAGCGTTTAGCGAAGCCGAGCGAAAGCAAAATTTGCGAGTCGAACAAAGTCACTTTTGATCCGAATGAAACATGCTATTTTTTCTGCAACCGAAACAATTAACTCAAATAAACATGTGAAGTAATCACCAATGTCGTGCCATATGTAGGTATGCAATGCAACAGATATTGACAAATAATCCATGTGGTGAGAATATTCTACCTGCATTAACAGCAGGTTAGGTTTTGTAGGATGTTCGAATTGTAGTTTCAATATAAATACAACCACAGAGTGACATATTTGTGTATGGACCAGGTGCTCTAATGGCAAATACCGCGTCAATGCCAGCTATAGGAACATGACGTGGAAAATGTTAGGTTAGTGAGCATATCAACAATGATAATAGTGATTATTTTTATTCCTCTCCATACTATACTGTGTTTGACTTGATAATACAACAACAACAACAATATCGTTGTTTGAGACAAAAAAACTATTGCTTGCCATGATTATTCAAAAACAAGTTATCCATCCCGAGAATAACGAATGAAATACAGATCAAGCAAGTATTTGAATCTTGAAGGCTTCCCTGATCAAAACAAAAATACTTAACTGAGATGTTTATAATTCCAATACTAAACTATAATAAGGTGTATTTATATCTCCAGCATGGGTATGAAATGCCAAATCTGCTGAAATCGGAAACAAATCAGGCATGCGTCCCAAATAACAATGTTGTTCATTCTTGATGACGTCCAGTACATTCTTTTTAGTTCCTAGGAGCTAAAGTTCAACTTTAGCTCCTAGGAACTAAAATTCAACTTTAGCTCCTAGGAACTAAATATGTTGCCTAGCAACATACCAATTTTTGTGTCAGTAATAGAAACGTCAATTTAAGAGCTAATTTTGGTATCAAAATGGACGACTTTTGTGTCGGTTGCAGAAAAAAGTGTATTATACACGGGAAAAATATTAGATGTTAGCTCCAGGTTGTGTTGTCTCCCGACGCGTAGCTTTCCCATGTATATCAACTCAGATTGTGAAAATAGAGTATATGCAGATTCGAGAAGGTAAAACTTTCCTGTAAGGCTGATTTTCATGAACTACTTGTCAATAAAAACTTAAATCCCGCTGTGTTATAATTATACAGAATTCACTGTTCTGATGCGAGATTCGCAGGAATGGCACGCGAATCTAGCAGGTATTAATCAATAACGACTTGTCATATATGCTTTCATGGTCATGGCTACTTTTAGTTAGAATTGAAAATTGAAAAGAAGTGCTTTCATAGTGACAAAATAGGTCTATAATTCAGTTTCACAGTATTATCATGATTGAAATATATTGCTAGTGCGGTGAAAAAAATGTGATAAACACCTTGGTAGTAGCATTATTATTACCACGGGATCTTATACCTCTCGGCTGATGCCTCGGGATATAATCTTAGTCCCTGGATAATATTGATATTCTTTACTACCTTGGTGTATAAATATCTATCATGCAAATCAGGTGTGATTTTTTTTTTTTTCAATTGACTTGGCCGTTACTTGATGGAAATCCATAGCAAATGTATCGATAAGATTTCTACAAAATTCTCAGTCACACGACACACGACATGTTTCGCTAAAAAAGAAAACAAGTTCAACATACGCCAACTAAATATTGAAAGAAAACCATAGTTTTGATGACAATTTCGAAATTCTACACGTAGAAAATGGAGGAATAAAACTTCAATCATTTTGAATCCTTATAAATCAACGAACTCAAAAATTCTAATATTCGACGAATAATTCACCACTGTTGAATTTGTTTTCTCAGTAGGTAATAATATGTATTTGCTATATCAACCCTTTCAAATGAATCCCTTACACCTTATTTTAATGTAGATACTGTGCCTATTTTCCGAAAATAAAGGTTTATCGAACCTTTCCACGGGTAATTCTAATCCTTCAGGTTGGGAAAGTAAGATATAACATATATGGATATATACAGTATGATGCACATGTATGGAATAAATTCATTATTTCAGGAATGGGCGACATTTGAAAAAATTCCAAAAACACGTGAGTTTTAATTTCTGAAGCCTCATCTCATGATATTCATATGAGAGATGTTACGTCACCGGTGTTGAAGTAAAGACGTAATGGACGATTTTTTCAAATACAAATAGGGGTCATGTGACACCTTGATTGAAAGGTCTACCGATCGTCTATTCAACAGTCAAAATGTGGCATAAGAAGATTGAAATTAAAATGTGATTAATTGAATCTTGCAGAGGTCTGCTACTGAGAATTGAACGAAAAAAGAGTTCTGAACTCTAGTTTTTGGTTTTTTTTCGAAAGTCGTCTTGTTTTGAAATGAATTTATTCCATACATTTGCATCATACTGCATAAGTTTAGGCAAGCCAAGGTTATAGTTTATATCATTGTACCAGTATTACACCTGACGAAGCTACTGTGTTAGCGAAACATGTAGTGTGACTGAGAATGTTGTGGAAATCTCATTGTTCGAGAAGTTTTCACATTGGAAAAATTAAGAATAGAATAATGAAGAAAATGATGAAAGATACAGTATTCTGGTACTCGTAGCGGTACCCTAGTTTCAAAATGTCAACTTGGCTGACTAATGAATGTTTCTCATATTGTTGTTGAAATCGAAAAGTGATGTGCCTTGAAAGCGTTACTATGTTTGAAAAAAATGCCAGTATTTACTTTTGCTACTTATTTAGTCCCTCAATTGATAGATGAAAAGTTCAAAGTTCCCTCTTATTCCCTCTGAAGTGCATGGAACTGGTTTTAATTCTTTCGAACGTGCTTTTATTGATAATCTGAATTCTTGCATTTTTCAGTCGTATTTGAGTTACATCAGGGATACAATGGAACAAGATGGAGTGAATGTAATCGGTTATACTGTCTGGAGTATAATGGACAATTTCGAATGGACTCAAGGATACAGGTATGCTCATTCTTACATTGAAACACTGCTGAGTGCTGACAATATTTTTATTTTAATTCCAGTCAAAAGTTTGGTCTCTACAATGTGGACTTCAGTAGCCCAAACAGAACAAGAACGCCAAAACTGTCTGCTCAATACTACAAGAATGTTTGTCAAACAAGATGCCTTATAGTTGATGATTATGGTTGTATAGATTAATTAATGGAAATTATCTCAACAGAATTCAGCTTCGTTAAATAAATGACAAAATTAAACCTATATTTGGAGAATATATGTGCTTGTAGTGGAATGAATAATAAATTATAAACCACGACACAAGAACTATTCTCGTCTCGCTTACTTATTTCACTCATTACCTAACTACTTTCCCATATACAAAATGAACTTTCTGAAGTTCGATGGTTTCACAGTGTTACTTTGTGTCTTGTAAATTTTTCATAATTCAATTGTTTCTAATCGAGTTTCTAATATCTCATCTTGATGATATGGATTAAATAAACATTTTGAATTGATTGAATTGATTTGATGAAAAAGTAGGTAAATGTAGACATAAATGAATAAATAAGTCCGAGTCACCTCCATCTGAGTCAAATATTTGTTATTTCTGATTTGTTCACGATTCTTTAGGAACTTTCATCTTAGGCTGAATATTTTATCGATAATAGAGTGTCCATATGATTGATGGATATTTATTGAACACAGTGCCGGAATTGAGGGAGGGCATCCGGGGCTACTGCCCCGGGGCCTCCTCAAAAAAAGGGCCCCCACAATAGAGATCTACACTGAAAAAATAAGTTCACCCTATTTTCAGAAATGTTAAAGGTACCTATTTATGTGGCATGGATTCATAATGAAAAAAATACTCATGTATTTGTTGACCAATCTGACTACATAAATCATTATCTGATTGAGTTCAATAATAAAACTGAATAATATAGTCGCACCAGAGTTCAACCCATAGATAATTATACAGCACGCTGTATAATTATTAATCTATCTATCTTTGTAACCATGGCGACGCTGCACATGCGCCAAATCCGGTGCTGGCACTAGCGTCTAGAGACAGGAGGAAGAAAATAGTCATCGTAATGGGCGAATCGCGCCCATCGCGCCAAGCCAGCTGACTCAGTGGCACAGCTCACCTAACACCTATCACTACAGAGAGAGGTACCTAAATCTTTCGAACCCTTCCCATCACGTCATATATTGGGAGTAGTAAGTCCGTCTCTATTGCCCAGCCCCTTCCCTCCACCATTCTCCAAACCACGTGCCTCGACTAGCCAATCAGGGCCAACTAGGGGCCAGCATTTGGTTGGAGCCCACTAACCGCAAGCTACGTCTGGCTCCAACGAGCGATCACGGAACATAGAAACACCACGGAATTGTCACAAAAACGTTACAGAACACCACGGAAATGTCACAAAAACGTCACAAAACAACACGGAAAAGTCACAGAACATCACAGAAATGTCACGGAACACCACAAAAATGTCACGGAAACGTCACGGAACACTTTCGTGGTGTTCCGTGATATTTTCGTGGTGTTCCGTGGTGTTTCTGGTTAGTGGGCTCCAACCAAATGGCCTCTGATTGGCTCGTCGAGTCACGTGGTTTGGACATTTGTATTTTTTTATGATTATTTTTGCAATAAAAGTGTGAGGGCTTTCGAGGATGTTATTTCTTTCTCTCGAGACCCCGAGAGTTTCGTTAACAATTCAAAGTTTTTTTACGATCGAATGCGCATGCGTCCATAATGTATCACGTGATTCACTGTGACCAATCTGACAATGAGGTTTGGGAATGGTTCGAAAACTTTAGGCTCTCGTCTACAGTACAGAGTCTTTAGTTCACCGACGTGTATCTGAAAGGAGATGATACGTATTTCTAGACATCATCGAATTTGATGAATAGGTCTATATAAGTTATAATAAATGTTTTGTCGATTATTTTATTCGATTGTATCATTTTTCTTGAAACGTTGAATACGTATTTCATCGATATTGAACACGTATATGAGATCAAAAGGTGATAAAAACATTTTTTAGCTCGTTATAGAATCTTGAAAATAAATAACATCCAATTCAGAATCTGAAAGCAATGAATTCTCTGAAAGTGCAACACTTTGAATTATGGTATACAGGGTGTATCTGAATAATGTCGATAGAATTTGTAGGGTGATTCCTCGTGATATTCTAGCAAATTAAATTCATATAAACATGCGTGTCCTAACATGCTCCGTGTTTGATATACAGGATATTGAAAGTTGGAAATATTAATTGTTTTTATCTCTAAACCCCCTGTATGAGCTTTCATGGTGCCATAATTCAGTATGGTTGGAGACTGAGGAAGCCCCAATATTTCAAAATGATTGTAATTGGGGTTATTTAGTAATCTCAATGGAAGTCTTGAAAACACCTACATTAAAATTTGGAGTCAAATCGAATTTTTATTGTTTCCTCAAAAACTAAGCTAGATACAAAAATCACATTGACGATGAAACAGTTGTTATTTCAATAGTTCAATCTCATAAAAATATGATACTCAGAAAAACTGGTTGCGTACAATGACATTCACCATAAATATCGATAAATTTGCCCACCGTGACGCCACTGAAAATATTAGTTCGAATAAAGTTGCACCAGAAGTATAAGCTCCATATTACTATCAACAAGACCACAACGTGTTATTGGAATTGAATAAAAGACAATTGAGTCATGTATAAAAATAAATGATATTTCATGGAAATACTAATTCCCTGTATCTCGAAAACAAACCAAGTTAGGACACATGTTCATATGAACTATATTACTTGAAGTATTACAAGGAATCACCCTTTGAATTTTCTCGGTAATATTTAGATACACCCTGTAAATACATCAGGGTCATTCACCTGTGAATAAGATTCAATCTGATGTAATTTATAAAAACTCTTCGATTCGCTGAGGTATGTCAAAGTTTTTCATTACTCAGGTTTGCATCCATATTCTGGTGGCATGAGTTTGCTCACATGAATATTGTGTTTCTTCTTGGAAATATGCGAGTATCTACCTACAACATTCTCTTCGATTTCACTTTCATCTATATATCGCATACATTTGTAATGAAGAACTCTGATACAAACAGAAATCGTTTGAATAATTTGCAACATAATTCGAAAATGACAGTTGACAGTTCCTACAATTGACAGGCCGGATGGGACTCGAACATATCCGTAAGCTTAATGATGCCGTTTTAGTTATGTGAGTAGAATATAGTATATTGTGCAACAAGTGGGAAAAGTTCAACTTTTCTCACGAGTGAGAAAGTTTGTGACACCAGCCTGAAGGGCGAGTGATTCAAACACACGAGTGAGAAAAGTGCTTTTCCCTACATGTTGCACACTTTATTTTTTCTACAACTGCACTTATTCAAAGAATCCAAGTAATGTAGCTTATTGGTATTCATTTTATAATGTGGCACTATGCCACATTGAACATTGTGACCAAAGAGTAGACGCCTTTCCTAGTTCCTCAAAGTATTTCAAAAAAGTACACTTTTCGAACAAGATTTTATTTCTGTATTTTTTTAGATTCCATAAATTTTTCGTTTATGCCAATTCATACTTTTTTCTTGAAATTTCCCGAAACAAATCCAACTTTGCAGCTTCTTCCATTATCTCTGTCTCTGGCGGTGTATTTATCAAAATCGTCACTTCTCGGTATATACATCATATTATTATGAATTGTTGGAATAATATTTGATGGAAAATGCGATTTCTATCAAAAGCACTAATGAGAACTACCCTAAAGAAAAACTTCTTCTGACAGTTGAGACAACTATTCAAAGCTGTACTGCAGCCAAGTTTTGGAAATGTATGTGGTGTTGGCAAAGTGCCGTGAGAAAAAATATTCCTCAAATTATGAGCAATACATGGTTTTGAAACTAAGTTAGCTATGAGAAATGCGCTACTTTTCATAGCAGTAGTAGAAAAACATCATTTCAAATTTTGAATTGTTCGAATGGATGAAACTAAATTTTGAAGTTCACGTCCATGTGAGTCAGATATTTGTTATTTCTGATAATAATTGATGTTTTCACGACATTGTAGCAACTTTTATCTTGGACTGAAGATGTTATCGATAGTGGATTGTCCATAGATTGTGAGGGATTTATTGAACATTAAAATATGTTTTTTTTTTCTCGAGTATCTCTCAATTCTCATTCCACAAGATTGAAAGTATCATTTCTAAAGAATAAGCGTGTTGAGTGGGTCTTAACTGATAAGAATCATTAATATCACAATCTTGAGATGTCGATAGAAAAAAAAAGGGCTCGTTGAGATTATAACATGACGAACAGAAAATCCATATAAAAATCTGTCTGCATAAGTGGCATCTTCACACTACTGCACTATGATTTCCATTTTGAAATTCGCGGTACTGGTGTTCATAGCCAGTTACAGGTAAGTTGAAATTTTCTCAAACCGGTATTGATAACTGACTCAAACAAATTTCCAGTTTTGCAGATGATTATGTTCTCAACAGAAAAAGGTTTCCTCCAAATTTCAAGTTTGGTGTCTCAACATCTGCATTCCAGATTGAAGGTAAGTCAATATTTGAAATTCAGAATAAACACTGATGATGGTTATAAAATAAGGTCGAGATAGTCACCAATTTTCTATAATTGATGGTTGTATTCAGATTATCAGGTCCGTATTCGAAACAAATAAGTTGATGATAACTTATTCGGCCTTGTTTGACAAATTTCCCATCTCATATTGTAATATGGATCTTGACGATACTTGTCACTTGCATCATAGCTTGTATCATATGATAGTATTCAATCTACTTACAATACGCGAATTAAATCTGCAACCGATTTCCTACTCAATAGTGTTAATGTCAACACGGATTTTCAATGTGATACAGATTTTGACCAATAAGGACACGTAGTTCTCATGATGAAACGAATTTTCGGCCTATAGTAACACGTATTTGAGTATAATATCAAGTGGGTCTATGTTTCTATCTCACTGGATTGAGTTGTTTGACATTTAATTTCGAATCACTTTCACAAAAGTACAGGCAATTAATGGAATTTTCATTTTTATTATTTATTGGTCGTACGAAAAATTGTGTATGCAACAATCATGTAATGACTAAGTATTAATACATGATCGTTACATAAAATACTATTCCGATGATTTTACCCATATAGCACTCGACGTTCTGGGGACGTTCAGTTTAGGTCCGATTTAGGTCTGAAAGTCCGAGACCTTCTCAAGACGTACTGAAAACGTCTATTTCTAGACGTACTGGGTACGTACGATTCCGATGTACTGAGTACGTCCAACTCTGGACGTTATCGACTTTTTGTGGACGGGATTGAATAAATTGTGTAATGTAATTGAAATCATTGCATATAATTTCTACCCTCGATCTCTGATATCTATTCATGTAGAAACCTTGTAAACATGAACATAATACAATTCTCACAATTCATTTTTCACTGGCAGTACCTAATCACAAAACATCTAATTAGGTATGCTCTGCCGTGATCATCTAATTCTATGAAAGTATCAATGTGAAGGGTCAATCTTCATTCGCACATTATCTCTTGATGTATACTGATATATTAATAAGTGTTCTATAGAGTGATAGGTGTAATCTAAAGGTCCTGGGATCGATTCCCAGTAGAAGCGTATTTTTTTTTATTTTTTATTCAGTATAAGATCTTTTCTACTCTGTCTAGATCTCTTTTTCAACTATTTGAGTAAAAAAAGGTGAATTTACGTTGATTTAGGCATTCATGGTCCTGAATGGACGTACTGGCCGGACTTTCTCAGTACGTTTTGGGGACGTCCTGGTGCTATATAGGTAGTTAAATATGTGACGCACTATATTTTTACGATATACATATATAGGAGTTGATTTCACTTGTTAGTAACTAAGGTTCATTACTAAAATTGCAGCAACATTGAGAACATTGATTCGTTCTCAACCATAACATTTGATATTACGCATGTCTACATAGTTTTAAAGGGAACTGAGTGACTTTTGCCAATAGATATAAGGCGCTTCATTTTTTCCAGAAAAATTATCACATTAATTTCATTAAGTTAATAGGGACTAACAAAATTATCGCGATAATCTCCCGTCACTATAAGCAACGTAAATAAAAAGATGCCTCCTAATTGGCTGAAAATGTTTTTATGAAATTTTCATTAGAAATCACTTTATATAGAAATAAGTTCTCGATTCAATTCGTTGTTCAGGTGGCTGGAATGAAGATGGCAAATCGCCAAGCTCCTGGGACAATATCACTCATGCTGCACCTGATTCTATACTTGATGGGAGCAATGCAGACGTTGCTTGTGATTCCTACCACAAATACAAAGAAGACGTGGCTATGTTGAAAGAAATCGGCGTGAACCATTACAGATTCTCTTTGTCTTGGAGTAGAATTCTCCCTACCGGTAAGTCTCCCAAAATCATCAAACAGGGTATATATCAATTGGTTTTATTGTTCGTGAATCAGATATGAAACCATCGACAATATTCCCCTACATATTTTTTTGGACATAGTGGAAGAATGGAAATAAAATAATAATAATAATATTAATTAATCGATCTATGGTGTTTCGTCCCCCATCACCTAATCTGTCTATCTATGCAACTAGTTGTTCCATGATCTGGATGACTTGACAGTTGACAGCATAAAATTTTACTGTTCAGTGCTTCCGCACACGTGATTCTTTTCTTGGCTATTTCCGAAGCCACATCTTTCTTATTATAAAAGATTGATATTTTCAAGTTTAATTACCACTTATCGGTGATTTAAGGGTACCGTGTGCCCTTATTAAATATGTTCCCGACCCCTAAACCTTCAACTTCTAAAAATTTTTTAGAAAACATTTTCATTATATAAACAGTAAGTTTCGCTCATATTGATATTTCTTCAAAAATTTTCACTGTTCCTTTTCCAGATCATGGAGCAATGGCGCTTGCTTGCTCCGTTATTGCTTATTTTATACACATTGCAACATTTTTCACTTCCATGTAAGTAAAATATTATTGTATCATACCATAGGTCAAAATCTGCCTTTTCTACAACTTTACATTTTCTTGGCTGATGATGGGCTTATATAAGCCCGAAACATGTTCCCTTATATATGATATATGATCATTTAATAAAAGTTGTGGCTTTGGTTTTTCATCTATGAACTACACCACTCCACTTTGAGTTACCATGGACTTCTTCCAAAGATTAAATAATATTAACGTTTATTCGTATTAGCAAGCAGCAGCCATCCGAAAATGGATATATACACGTATTTTAAAAAAGTTTGCAGCATAAGCCAAGACATTTAAAATTATGATTTTCACGTAAGATAATGAGAATTACAATTACAATTTAAGATTTACACCTAGGATTAAAGGAATAACAGTTACACATATGGTAGATACCACTCGAAGACTCCAAATCGCGACATATTCTTAGATTAGATATACTTCTCCTTCTTCTTCTTCTTCTTCTTCGAAACACTGGTGGGCGGGTGAACCCCATGCACGTGGGCCTCCTTATTCGGGCCCATTGTGCGCCCACATGTTACGACATTCAGCTGGGTATGCCGACTGCCTTGGAGAAGTTCAGCAGCTTCCTCAGCTGAATCTCTTTTACGTCCTCTGGCGTCAAAATTATGTAGCCAAGGACAGCCCTCCTCTGATGCGTCAGTGCTGGACACTCAATGAGGACATGTGATGACGTTTCGTCATCTTCCAGGCACCATCTGCAAAGGGGGTCATCCTTGATCCCAAATAAGCTCTAGGTGCCTATTGAGGTGGTTGTGCCCCGTTAAGAGCCCCACTACCATTTTAAGGTTTCGCCTGTTTAGGAATAAAACCTCTTTTGCGAGCCTCTTCGAAGGTTCCTTTATGTGGAGCTTCGATTGTCTCATTCCTGGTGTGTCCTGCCATATTTTGAGGAATTTATTTTGCAGCTGTTCCTCTATAGAGGACATTGCCAGGCTATTTGGTATTAGATACTATTCTGACAATTGAAGATTGAGAAAGATTGACATGAAAGCCATCAAAGATTCGTTCACAATAAATTCTTGTTGTCATGGTTTCAAATGCTTGGTGATTTGTCGGTTTTAGGAAATTGAAGAAATCTTATTGGATCTTGGAATATGCGTGTATTATTCAATAAAATGACGTCAAAACTGTGCTTCTCTAGCATCCATGGACGATACGCTACTGCCTCTCTGCTTTGTCAAGGATAGGACGATTCTTCTCTTCGTGGATCCACTGCGGAGGAATAAGTTTAACCAACGGTTAATGAACATAGGATTATTTCAGGATTCCCGGACCAAATCAACCAGGCCGGTGTTACCTACTACAAGAATCTCCTTCGAGAACTGAAAGCCAACAGCATCGAACCTGTCGTCACCATCGTGCACTGGGAAATACCGCTGGCCCTACAAGAACTCAACGGCTTCCTCAACGAGTCCTTCATCGATTGGTACTCTGACTACGCCGCCGTCTGCTTCGACCTCTTTGGCGATGACGTCAAGATTTGGACCACGTTCAACGAGCCCAGGGGGGCCTGCATGTAGGTAGTGGATGGGTTCTGAATTAGTGAAACCTAGGGTCCCTTGATGTAAATTGACGTATTTTTCATATCAATAGGGTATGGACAGATCCTCGTCTCCTCTCACTCTAAAGTGTTTGTAAAACAGTTATATAGTTCCATCTTCATTCATTTCTGGGGATAAACACTCGATTTCTGACATTCGTTGCTTTTTAGGTTATATTGAGGACATTGGCGTATCATACGTAATTTCCACATGTAATTTCTCATTCGAATCTACATAATATATCCAAATGATGATAATTTTTTCACGAACACTTAGTATTTCCTGAATGTAGGTATAATTTTTTAAATGGTAGGGCATAAGCCTCTCCTTTTAATCCTCCGTTTTAATCAAAACTGTTTCTACTACAATGCATTCAAAAACTTGTGGAGTTGATAATTATAGGCACAATGAGGAAGTATAATATGTTATTTCGTATTAGATTTACCTCGAATATTTTGCTGATGTATTCACCAATTTTCCCCATTCGGTCACTTCATTTTCCATGTAATGTCGTATTAAAATCAAGTATGAAATTAAAATTTGGTAAGATCTCTTTTAACGCCTATGAAGGGACGTCAATACACGAAACCAAAGTCACTAGAAAGCAGATATGATCTGTCCGTACCCTGTCAGATGACAAATACGTCAGTTGATTTGAAACCTCATGAACATGACTGTTGGTTCCTTCGTAGACGACAGTGTCCTGTGACTTAGCTGGATTCCTAGCCTCGCTACGCTCGGCTATGAATTCAGCCTCGGCAGTCAATCTACTACTTTGCTGCCTAGTTAAACAAATAACTATTGTTGCTTGGCAATTTGACGAAAAAAACTGCCTCTGAAAAAAGTCCGTAGGACGAGTAATTTTTTCTGTAAGTTTTTTGATTTGAATTACCTAATGGCAACAAAATTAGAATTATAAATGCCAAGTTTACTTCGAGTAAAAAAAGGTTAGAGTGTAATTCGGTAAGACAATTCAATTTAACATATTAATCAATTGAACACTTGCTGAGGGCAATAATAACTGATCGAAAATGATTTTTTTTTCAACCCTAGACACGTCAACTTATCGGGCAGCGAAACGGGGGGGTTGTTGGAGTACGAGTGTGCGCACAACGTGTTGCGAGCCCATGCTAAGGCCTATAGACTATACGAGGAGAGGTTCAAAGCTACACAAGGTGGTGAGTGTACTAACTGTATAAGCTTGTACGTCTTCCCCAAAGATCTAATAATATATAGGTACACTACTAGATCCGCCCCTCACCTTCATATAGAAAGCATTGTCAAGTGGAAAAGTGAAAGGATCATCGGTATGGTTGCATGTGCAACAAAGACAAATTCATGTTTATCCAACCATCAGCTGGTAGTTGCATGCCCAGGGCCGGATTATCCATAAGGCGGACTAGGCAACTGCCTAGGGTCCCCGCACAGACTAGGGACTAGGGGCTCCGTGCACGAACAAAAAAAAACGTTTTTTTGATCGAGTTTGTTTTTAAAAATGTGTATACTTCCTCAATATTATTTCCGAATCCTTATATAACCGCGTCACGTCTCATTTCTGTTTCCTCATCCATCATGATCACGATTCTGTTCTTTTTTCAGATGATTATGATCAATTTATAAAACGATGGATGATTGCAATCCAATGAATGTTGGAACGAATTGTGTCAAGCTCCCAAAGAGTTATTTGCCCTGAGCAATTTGTTTTTGTATGCGTCCAAATATATTCCAAGTAGGAACAGGAAATAATCAAGCTGTTTTATTAGTTTTTCTCCGATTGGCAGCAAATATTAATTTTGCTGACACATATCAATCAGCAAAGTATTACTTTTCCTGTCTAGGCAGCAAAGTGGGTACTTTGCTGCCTAAGCAGCAAAGTGGTCATTTTGCTGATTGATATGTATCAGCAAAATAAATAATCCATAAAACGTTTATAATTTCCTTCATATTTCATCCGAGACTTCTCCGGCAACAAATTCAACTCTATATTTTTTGCCACCTTCCTCATTTCAGGAGGTGTAAGTACTTCTAGGTCGCTATCGCTGTCCATTATATAATAATTTAAATATACCGATATTTTTTCGCACAACTGTCAGAAATTTCATGAATTGTCAAACTATAATATTATTATGGGCATTTCCATAGCAACCAACCATTCCAACAACTGCGATTTCTATCAAATTTTATTTTAATTGAACACTACAGGAAAAATAGAGAGAGATATATATCATTATGAACGATCGGAGAAAAAATTATATGTTAAACTCGGCAGCAAAGTCGATTGACTGCCTTAGCTGGATTCCTAGCCTCGCTACGCTCGGCTATGAATTCAGCCTCGGCAGTCAATCTACTACTTTGCTGCCTAGTTAAACAAATAACTATTTCTTATCACGTAATTTTTCCACTGATTACAGGCAATAGGTGCTTGTTGTCAAATTGAAATACCGAATGACGTGTCCATGGTACTATTGGAGATTTTCTTTTCCACAGTAACGACTCAGCGACTAACTCACTTGATACGTTGGATAATCAATCACTGATAGATAGATATAATAGGTAATGAGATATGTTTGAGATGTGAAAACATTCAAACATTTGAAATTACAACGGAAATGAGTGTTATTTCAGAATGAGCTGTTTTGTTATTACAGCGCTGTTTTGTTACGCGCTATTTCGTTGCAGAGCCAAGTCAGGCATGTGAGATGATGCTGCAAGGTAACCATGTTGTTACAATATCACACGAGAGATTGAAGTAACAGGATACCAAAGGTGTCGATCTGATCGACTCGACTTTTGTTTCAAAAATTGAAAAAAAAACATAAGAAAGGGAAGAGGGGCCCCGAGAATTGCATTGCCTAGGGGGCCTGATAGGATTAATCCGGCCTTTGCATGCCCGTTACCTATCTCTCGTTTGTCGAATCATTGTCGTTCTAGATGACAACCTAGTTAGGTAGTATAGATAGTCTCAAGTTGAGTAGAGTATACTTTCCGAAATCAATGTATACGTATAAAAACTATAAAATCATGCATAATATCCTTCCAGTCCATGAACATTCCAAAACACACTTTTGTTTCTTGTTTTAATATTTGAACCCTTTATATTTCATATATCGAAGACTGGAACCTCACGATAATAACCCCACACTGTTTTACCTATAACCAAACCGTTTTTATTTAACGCTTTTCTGCAACTCTTCTATTAATTTGACAGCTATTGAGGACCTTTCAAGAAGGTTGTAAACTAATATACCGGTTTTGCTCGATTTCGATAAACTGTGAAAGATACCGGGTGATCTATAGATTTAACTAGTATATGGAATTGATGATTGATTGATTGATTATGATGAATGATGAATATACCTATTCATAGTAGTAGTTATAACAACATTTATTTCAGAAACTCGCTTTTTTGATGAAATATTCAGACAAAATCTGGAAATCGATAACATTGTTAACATTAAAAGTGCACTGCAGAAATTCGAGGTGTTTTCACAAGACGCCATTTTTTCGACTTCATGAATTTCAACTATTCGAAAATTGTACCATCATCGAAGTTTTTTTTCACAGGAAAAGTAGGGATTGTGTTGGATAGCGCATCTTTTATGCCTGGATCTGACAGTGCTGAGAACATCACAGCAACAAGAACTTCATATCAATTCGAAGTGAGTATCCATTTTATCGGATAATATACAGGGTCCACTTTATATTAGCAAATGATATATAGATAACCTCATTATGAGAAAAAAAAACCATAAAGATGGGTCGTATTTAAGACGCATCATTTTTGAGATATAAGCGTTGAAGTTGAAAGAAAAAATTGAATTTTCTTCAATTACTAATAAACCACTTTAAAAAAACAGAAGATATCCTGTTATGCTAAGTATCTGTATAAGCAAATATTTTCGTTATATTAGTATATGAGTGAGGGTTGCTGGGCTGTGTGCACTCGTGAATATATACCAAAGAAGGGAAGATTTGTATTTTGTGCAAGAAATTTATTCAAAATATTCGTAGTAGTGCGCTTTCGACTGTTAAGTCATCATTACTTACAGGTACGCACTGATGATGACTTAACAGTCGAAAGCGCTCTGCTACGAATATTTTATATAATATGGCTATACTTATTTCAAATTTTCCATCCTTCACTTTTCGGCCTTATAGATTCAGAAAGTATACCTCTCATTCTGGACCCATTTTTTTTTAGATATCATATAGGCGATGAGCCATATATAGAAATAGTACATATTGTAGGCGTACAAGCAGAACCCTGTAAGTCCACTTTTTTCGGAAATGAGGAGTTTATCACACATATAAGTCCATATTAGCGTAACGCTCCAGGCAAATAAACATTCAAGTCCATTTTGCGTTTGTTTCCGGATATACAGGGTGTTTCAGTTTTTTGTAGCAGGACTTTAACAGCTTGAAGAAGACATTTTTCCAAGATGAAATTCTCAAACAAACATATATGCGTGGGAGCTTCGTTTTCGATTTAGTTTCAGATTTTCTTTATGTTTTTTGAATTTTCTCCTACAATTTTCGGAATAATTGATTCAAATTTGGTACACCTGATACACTTCAAAAACTCAAGATTTGAGGCTATTGAGCGTTTTTGAATACCTACAGGGTGATAGACTTTCAGGGGTCGTACCCAATTTAACCCTGTAGAACTTTTTTGCGTGCCGCCTCTGCTTTCAATGGGACATAGATTCAGATTGTCTCTGCAATTTGAAAACTTTTTGACCCCATGTATGTTTTTCGAAAACAGTTTGGATTTCGAGATAAATAAAAGTGGAGTCCGAACCACTTCTAAGGGTACTGATAACAGTGATAACATTAGAATTGCCGATCACGAGATTAATTTATTAAAACTCACAACACCTCAACCGTCAGAAGCGACAGTCTATGGTCTAGCGATGTATAGCGCATAGACCGTGTGTCATACAGTCCCTGATATCGAAAGTTTAACCAGTTTCAGTTATACAGGGTGTCCGAGAATTTTCTACAATACAATTTCAGATTTTGCAATCCAGTTAGAAAAGTTTTTTTAAAATAAAAACATTTTCTCTTTGTTTTTCCTAGTTTTAATTATAATGGTGTTCAAAAAATTCAATCTAATTTTGCAACTGAATTTCATTTGGTATGGAAGCTTTCGGTCATTCTATTTTCCAATGAAATGTTTGAGAAATGTCAAATAAGTGTGTTTGAGAAATAACGGTTTTATGACAAGTAGGTAATTAATTTTTGGCATTTATCTCGAGATCCATATAGTTTTCGAAAAATTTACATAGGGGTAAAAAGTTTCCAAATTGAAATGACAATCTGAATCTATGTCCCATTGAAAGCAGAGACGGCACGCGAAAAAGTTCTTCAAATATTAAGTTTTTGAAGTGTATTTGGTGTACTAAACTTCAATCAATTATTCCGAAAATTGTAGGAGAAAATTCAAAAAACATAAAAATGATCTGAAACTTAAGAAACTTTGACACCCTGTAAATCGGAAACGAAGCTACCACGCATATATGTTTGTATGAGATTTTCATCTTGAAAAAATGTCTTCTTCAAGCTGTTGGAGTCCTGCTACAAAAAACTGAAACACCCTGTGTAGTCAATGAAAATCCACTTAAGTCTAATTTCCTTATAATTTTACAGGTTGAATCGAATTTTCAATTGCGTTGTTCTCCTTAAATTATTTTCTGGATTTACATGATTCTGCTTGTACGCCCACGATATATGAATAATTGAAAAATTGTTCAATTTGTCACCTTCTTACAGCTGGGTTGGTTTGCCAACCCCATCTTCAACGGCGACTACCCGGAAATCATGAAATCCCGCATCGGAGCTCGCAGCCACGCAGAGGGCAGGAAGTCTTCCCGTCTGCCCGAGTTCACCGAGGCGGAAAAGGTCGCCCTCAACGGTTCCGCTGACTTTTTCGCCCTCAACACGTACACGACCTTCTTGACGGTTGCTATAGAAGAACCGCCGATCACTGATCCGCCCAGCAGGAACCAGGATATCGGCGTGTCAACTTACCAACCCGACGAGTGGGAGGATAGTTCGATGGAAGATACGAAGGTAAGCTATACCGAGGGTAGTCCTAGAAGTACTCGGGAATATTGTCAACCCCCCTAACTTTGGCTCGCTTGGGGAGCGTAGCCGAGGTGACACTAGTAGAAACAGTCTTCGCTAATCGAGGTATTGAATATTGTAGCCACTGAGGCTTCAGTCGATCTTTGACCAGATAATTGAATCAGATAGGGAACAGAACCACTTTAGGAGATCAGTCAATGAGAACATGCAGGTCAGAGTATGAGAATGACAAGCTGGACCAATCTCAGCCACCACTCGTACACGCGCGTATTTCTCTAAGGGGTTACTCGAGCCTCGATCTTCGAGACTACCCTTACTCTATCGCAGCCCGATTGATAATGCTCGATTCGTTTCTTCAATCAGTTCTTCGTGAGTCAACTGATGACTCTTATTATTCATTAGAGGAATATTGTTTGTTATTTGAAAACGTTAAACTTCAGGTATTGCTGATATAAATCGATTGTGAAATAAAAGGTTAATAGACGAATTTGGAGAATGTAGATCGGGACATACGGAATAATAATAGTAATAATAATTAATTCTCAAGTCAGAGTTGACAATATTTAGCTCATTTGCCCCTCAAACCCCGACAATAATCACCAAGCGGGATCTTCTCTAGTGTGTTTGGACACTTCTTAGGATGATCCTCAAGATAGTCCCACGACCTGCTGAGTGGGATATAGCTGAACTATGAGGCATAACTTGGAAAAACTGCACCCAAAATCGATATATTTCATATTATCTCCTTACAAATGTAGATCAGTGCTGAAGCCTTTGGAAACGGTAAAAAGTTTGAAAAAAATTATAGTACATTATATAATATAGGGTGTTCCATTTGAAAAATCAAAGTAGCTACTATACTTTCTATTAGAAATGGCAAGACCGCATTGTCGAAAATATTTTAGTTGGGTAGAGAATGTCCAAATACCTAGCTCTCTATCAAATTTTGTAAGTGTTCCATATCTGGTTCACCAGAAACGTGCCACCCACCAGGAAACAGCCTGTATATGTTATATGTTGTATATATGTATACTCCTCGTTTTTATTAACAACAATGTTTCGTGGGATAATAAAGAATGTCATAAACTTTCTAATGAAAAACTCACTCATTTTGTTAATTATATTTCTTCAACTTTTTTCAGTCTGCCCCTTGGGGTGTAAGACCACTGTTGAATTGGATAAACGATAACTACAATCAACCAGAAATCATAATTACTGAGAACGGTTACCCTGACAGTACTGGTACCTTGCAGGATGTGAAGAGGCTTTCCCTTATCCAGGTAAGGTAGATAACATTCCATCAAGCAATGACTATATATGAAGAAATAAGCAATATTATTTTTAATCATATGAAAATTGGAAGAGCTGGAAGAGGGCCTACACTCACCAGAATACATTAAAAATGTATCACTTGAAGTAAAAGTCATTTCTTTAGATTTCTTTGGATTCTCTCCCCGTTTAAACAAATAAAAATATATGTTTACAAGGCGTATAAAGTCCGTTTTTCTCCAAATGACATTGAAAGTGGATTTTTAATGACACTTAACAGGCAGAAAAGGTGTACTTTTACTGCCAAGGCAGAAAAAGTTTGTTGCTATGCAACGTTCCAAATAATTTGAATAAAATTCGTGATCAAAATTGACAATGACTTTGGTTGAACAAAAAATGATGGATTATTTGGACTTTGCGTGAAATTGAAGAGAATTTGGAGAAAAAATTATGTTCCACATGGCCAGCCTTGGCTGGTTTCCTAGCCTGTACAATACACGCCTGGAGTTTTGGTGCGTCTCTCAGTATATCCAGAAAGCTCAAAAAGTTGAATATATTGCGCAACAGTTATTGCTAACACATCAGGATGCTCACTATTATGCTGCTTTAAAAAATAGGTTTCAATAACATTCGAGATAATTAGAATAATTAATTATTATTTGCCATTTTTATCTGCGATACTTTGAGACTTTTACGACGCTCACGTGCGAGATTTGAGTCGAGACTTTGTAAGTCTCGACTCAAATCTCGCTTTTGTTTGTTACCTGTTACAATCAGATTTTTCAATTCCGGTGTCGGACGTTTGTTTTTCACAATCAATTTATCTTCACAAGACAAAGCACTGAATGGGTTCACCAAAAAGTATTCCACTAAATCGCAATCGTTTAAAACACTCATTTTTCAGAAATTTTCAGAGCCCCTAACCATTAACCTAACATAAACATAAACATAAACAATGCACTTGCTTTTGTCCGCAATTCGCGACGCGACACGACAAACACGTGCTATTCGGGTGTATTCGGGCATTTGCATTGCGCGCGTTGGTTGCGCGTTGTGAAGGAGTCTAGCTTCCTTTAAATGTTGCCAAGTTGAATATTTTACGCGTGATTTGCAGACTTCAACGTGTGATGATAAAAACAGGAAATAAAATCAAAATCCATGTATTTTGGTGTCCTTTCAATGAGAAAGTATAGATAATATCAGTTTAAGGAGGATCTCTGAGGAGGCTCAGTCTCCGTTGCCTCGTCTGACGAGCCGCCACTGGTTTCTATATGAACAAAATATGAGTATTTTTCTCAATATACATGATGTAATGAGGACAAATCACATGATTTGGTCCCAAATCATCAGTGCTCCTAATATCGTATTCTATGATTTTCCTCTTTTGATTGTTATCATATAGGAGAAGAAATAAAGAGAAGTCAAAATCCCAAAAAAATCTAAAGAAATAAAATTGTTACTAATCTTTGGACGTTTCGGGAACAAATCTGATTCCGTTTTCAACATATGTACAGGGTGAACAACTAAGAACGGCTGTCGGTCATATCTCAGCAACGAATAATGATACAAGTTTGAGATAGAATAAACCTATTGGTATGCATATCATGACACGATGTAATAGAGAAACTGAATCTCAACAGACCAACGAAAACCGCAACATGATAGCTCTTCGCCAACGGAAGATATTAACTATCAAAGTTAGTTAGTTGTTCACCCTGTACAATTGGAAAAATTATTCTTTGCAAATATACTTCAAAAACAGTGTGACCAAGATAATTTTACACAGCATGCGGGGATCACGGAAACGGAAGGAGATAAAAATTCGGTTAAATGGGAAAAAACTTGCGCATTCAGAGGGCCATATACCAACGGCCTTCGAGAATTTCCAAAATTGTTTATAGTTTTTCAGTTAAATCAAAAAAAGTGAATTTCTGGAAAATCTATCTTATTTTTTCTACGTTATCATTGAAGATACAGAAAAACTGAAACTAAGACTATTGAATGTTTCGATAACACTGTCCCTCGGTTCTTCTTCGTTAACGAAATACAGAATTATTTGCGTACACAAAGTTTTTAACGTATCCCTAAAGAAACAAATCCAGCGGTGTCCAATCAGGTGATCGCGCCGGCCATTGGGACTGGAGAATAAGTTTAGTTATAATATCAAGGTAACTCGGGTAATTCGTATAAGAATTCATCATCATAAAACAGAAGCGCTGAATTGGATAGTTTATGAAATATTTTTTTTACTCTTCAGTATTGAATAACTTCTCCATCAATTTTTGACTCCGAATGCTCAGAAACAAGTCGGACTGATGGTTTTTCCTCATTGGAGTTTCGAAAAAACATTGAAGATGGCTAAAACCACTTTGAGTAATAGGTACATGCTTGAATTCAGAATAAAAAAGCTATCGAAATCTATGAACACATAAACAGGACCGTATTTGAAAAAAAAAGTGGTTATGCTTCTATGAATACGAAACGTCGCTTAGAGAAATCAATATCAGTGTATTCAGTTTCCATGTATCTCTAATGATAACGTAGATAAAAATTGAATAGATGTTCCAAAAATTCACTTTTTTCAGCTTTTTTCGATACAACTTAGAAACCAAAAACAATTTCGAAAAATTTTGAAGGGCGTTGGTATGACCCACTGACTATGCGCAACTTTTTTGCCGTGTCCATGCTGTGCAACCTTATGTTGGTCACACTATATGTGTATATGCAGATTCGAGAAAAAAAAAGTTCCCTGTAAGGCTGTTTTTTTTATTTCTCTTCCATAAGGGGGTGGTGGGTACCTATACTTTACTCGCTACTTGACAACGTCGAGTCAGCCTATGAATATATCAACAGGAACAATAGTGGAGTATAAAACTAAGGACTAAAGTGGCACTTTTAATCCCTATGCGAAATATTTGTACAATTCGCTCAGGGATCAATGATTATAAACAACTTTATTCCTGTGGATTATGTACCTACCATTTTATGCACTTCAAGAGTGGAGAAAAGAAAAGAGACTGTATTCTTCGTACTCGTAGAGGTACTCTATAGTTTCAGAATATCAACTATGCTGACTGATGAACGATTATCATATTGTTGTTGATGGCATCGAAAAGTAATGTCCGGTCCATTGAAAACTTTGCTATGCCGTTTGAGAAAAAATGCCAGTATCCACGTTTATTCTCAGAGGCATTAAAAGGGCCACTTTAGCCTCTCAAATGAGAGATTAAAAGTACCCACTCATTCCCTGAAGTGCATAAAACTGGTTAAATCTTTCAAATGTTCCTTTATTAATAATTGTAATGCTTGCAATTTTCAGTCGTATCTGAGTTATATCAGGGATACAATGGAACAAGATGGAGTGAAAGTAGTCGCGTATACTGTGTGGAGTATAATGGACAATTTCGAATGGTTTCATGGATACAGGTATGCTCATTTTTGCATTTAGGCACTGCAAAGTACTGACAATATCTTATACCTTAATTATTTCAGTCAAAAGTATGGTCTCTACAATGTGGACTTCAATAGCCCAAACAGAACAAGAACGCCAAAACTGTCTGCTCAGTATTACAAGAATGTTTGTCATACAAAATGTCTTATAGTTGATGATAATGGTTGTACGGATTAGTGAATGAAAGTAAAATTATTTCAACAGAATTCAACATTTTGTTTTTCTCTATTTCATATAATTTGATCCTATCAAGTTTCCTCCAGTCTAATCCAATCTCAGAAACAGTATGGTTTCAAACAACAAATAAACTAGGCTGGTACCTATATTTGGACCTATATGTAGGAGTTCTCTTGGATTCAGATAATGAACATGAAAAATTGAGATGTGTATAATTTTTATCGAACTTTCCATCCAAAAAACAATATTCAGACTCGTTTTTTCAACACCCAATAAAGTATTATTGACCAGGCTTCATCTGATTATTCAGTAGGCTTCATCCACATTTCCACTTAACGTGATTTATAATGAAGACCTGGAATCCCAAACACTGTGCTGCTCGGACCTGAAACTAAGTAATAATTTGAAATTTGTATCGTGGGACAAACATGAAATGAAGAGTCTGGATATTGTTTCCAACATTCGTAACTGGAATGCGATATATTTTTGTAATTCATTAATTAATCAACTATCTCAATGATACGAGGCAGACAGATAAGCAACAATTTTCTCTGCGATGAACAACACTGTATATACCTAACCCATCTAACTTCTACCTCCTTTGCAGAGAGGGTTTATGAAAGCAAAGTTGGTATACTCTCCCCTCGTAAGGGTACCTTTCGTGTTTCCAAAGAGACATAAAGGTGAATATCTGTCTATCTGTTTGCTTGAGAATCTGGAAAAGAAATCGATATATCGCCTTCCGTCCGAACATGCGGTGATCTGAATTTAGAGAAGTATACTCTGGTCATTTTCTCGATTCGGCTTGACTGGATGGTGTTATCGGATTTTGAGACAAATAACAAACACTGTGCTTCTCGGATCTGCAACTGATCATCACATATCAAATATCGAATCATATGAATCAAAAATGATTATTATTGGATGCGGTTCATGGATGTTGAATTAGAAACTTACCTGATAATTTTTTTCAACGTTCGTATAGTTTGATTGCAACATATAAGTTTTGTTTCCAAATAGAAGTTTCCTCAGTAGACTCCATCCACATCCCCACATTACGTGGTGTAAAATACACACACAAAAAGGCACGTTAGCAAATGTATGTATTTTTGGCAAAATATCAATGACAAAATTCAGAAATAAAATTATTGACAACTAACTTCAAAAATATCAAATTATATCATCTATCTCCATGCACTGGGTGTATAAATCCATGGACTTTACACGTGGGGTATAATCAAGACCTGGAATGCCAAACACTGTGCTGCTCGGACCTAAAACTAAGTATCAATTTGAAATTCGAATCGTGAGACGAACATGGAATGAAGAGACTGCATATCGTTTTCAACATTCGTAACTGGAATGCGATATATTTTTGTAATTTAATAATTAATCAACTATCTCAATGAAGACGAGGCAGGCAAATAAGCAACAATTTTCTCTGCGATGAAAAACACTGTATATACCTAACCCATCTAGCACCTACCTCCTTTGCAGAGAGGGTTTATGAACGCAAAGTTGGTACTCTCCCCTCGTAAGGGTACCTGTCGTGTTTCCATAGAGACATAAAGGTGAATATCTGTCTATCTGTTTGCTTGAGAATCGGGAAAAAAATCAATATATCGCCTTCCGTACGAACATGGTGATCTGGATTTAGAGAAGTATACTCTGGTCATTTTTCTTTGTGGATCGTTCCTTCGGTTCGGCTTGACTGTATGGCTTTCTCGGATTTTGCTTCAAGTATCAAACACTGTGTACTCGGATCTTCAACTGCACATCACATATCAGATATCGAATCATATGAATCAAAAATGATGATTATTATTAGATGCTGTACATGGATGTTGAATTAGGAACTCACCTGAATATTTTTGCAACGTTCGTAGTTGGATTTCAACATATAAGTTTTGTTTCCGAATAGAAGTTTCCTCTTATTAGGCTGCATCCACATTTCCACTTAACGTGATTCATAATAAAGACCTGGAATGCCAAACACTGTGCTGTTCGGACCTGAAACTAAGTATTCATTTGCAATTTGTATCGTGAGACGAACAGGGAATGAAGAGTCTGGATATTCTTTTCAACATTCGTAACTGGAATGGGATATATTTGTGTAATTTAATAACTATTCAACTGTCAATGAAGACGAGGCAGGCGAATAAGCAACAATTTTCTTTGTGATGAAAAATACTGTATACACCTAACCCATCTAGCGCCAACCTCCTTTGCAGAGAGGGTTTATGAACGCAAAGTTGGTACTCTCCCCTCGTAAGGGTACCTGTCGTGTTCCATAGAGACATAAAGGTGATGATATATCGCCTTCCATAACAAATAATTAATTTTGAAAAAATATTCTATATGAATTGAATACGACACAGGATTGGAAAACTCATCACCGGTTTCTGATTTTATGTCTGGATTCCTCTTCTTTGCGTTTTTTCCGTTGGGCTTGGATGGTCAATTCATAACAAGTTAATTCTTCGACTTAAAACATAGTTGGCATTAAATCTCGATTCAAAAATAAATTGAGGGTCGAAATTTTGGAGTAACATGGAATAGGAAACTGAAAAGTATACGAAAACTGTTTTCGAATTCCGGTGCTGAAATGCGACATATTTTTCTTGAAAAACACTGTTTATACCTAACCGGTTGCTGATCTTATGTCTGGGTTCCTCTTCTGTGCGATTTTTCCGTTGGGCTCAAATCGTCAATACATAACACGTTGATTCTTCAATCTGAAACATAGTTGGTATTCAATCTCGAATTATAAATAAATTGGGGGTTGAAATTGTAGAAGTTACATGGAATAAGAAACTGAAATGTATATGAAAACTGTTTTCAAATTCCAGTGCTGAAATGCGACATATTCTTCTCAAATGAAAGAAACTCATCACCGGTTGCTGATTTTATGTCTGGGTTCCTTTCCTGTGTGATTATTCCGTTGGGCTTGAATGGTCAATACATAACAAGTTGATTCTTCAATCTAAAACATAGTTGGTATCAATATCTCGAAACATAAATTTATTGAGGGTTGAAATTGTAGAAGTTACATGGAATAAGAAACTGAAATTTACACGAAAACAGTTTTCAAATTCCGGTGCTGAAATGCGACATATTCTTCTTGAATGAACGAAACAGATAGCCAACAGTTTTCTCCTTAATGAAAAACACTGTATACAGGGTGATTCAAAAGTAAGCGGCATCCTTTCAGAGGCGTATTCCTTGCTTGAAAATAAGGCAAAAAGTTCCTATTGATAAGGATCCGAAAATGCTTCCTAAGGGAGCTACGGCCCTTTGAATAGGACACCTCAAAGACGGTTTTTTCTCTATAACTTTAAAATCCTTCACAACAAATTTTTAAAAATTGGTGTACGGCATAAACATTCGATGGTAAATAGGACTCCGTATTCGAAATTTCAGAATTTCATTCAGGGGCGTCACATGCGGGAGAGGGTAAGTGTAAAAATATCCCTTCTTCTCCGGATATTCAGGTTACTGTGATTTCGTTTGGAAATTATTTCGAATACGGAGTCCTATTTACCATCGAATGTTTATGCCGTACACCAATTTTTAAAAATTTGTTGTGAAGGATTTTAAAGTTATAGAGAAAAAACCGTCTTTGAGGTGTCCTATTCAAAGGGCCGTAGCTCCCTTAGGAAGCATTTTCGGATCCTTATCAATAGGAACTTTTTGCCTTATTTTCATGCAAGGAATACGCCTCTGAAAGGATGCCGCTTACTTTTGAATCACCCTGTATACCTAACCCACCAGGCGCCTACCTCAGTTGTAATGAGGGTTTACCGACGCCAAGGGTTGATACTCTCCCCTCGTAAGGGTACCTGTCGTGTCTCCATGGAGACATAAAGGTGACTACTGAAACATTTTCTATGATATATCGCCTTCCATAACAAATAATTAATTTTGAAAAAATATTCTATATGAATTGAATACGACACAGGAATGGGAAACTTATCACCGGTTGCTGATCTCATGTCTGGGTTCCTCTTCTGTGCGATTTTTCCGTTGGGCTCAAATGGTCAATTCATAACACGTTGATTCTTCAATCTAAAGCATAGTTGATATTTGATCTAGAATTATAAATAAATTGGGGGTTGAAATTGTAGAACTTACATGGAATGAGAAACTGAAATGTATATGAAAACTGTTTTAAAACTCCGGTGCTGAAATAAGACATATTCATCTTTAATGAATGATCGAAACAGATATAGCCAACAGTTTTCTCCTTAATGAGAAACACTGTGAAACTTATCACCAGTTGCTGATTTTATTTCTGGGTTCCTCTTCTGTGCAATTTTTTGTTGGGCTCATACGTTCTGATTGGTTTAAAATGATCAGAAGAAAATAATCAGTGATAAAATACTGCTCGCCAATAGCTATGGAAATGGAATGGACATTCGGATTATTTGTCAATATTTGTTGCATTGCATACATATGGCACGGCATTGGTAGTTACTTCACATATTCATTTGAGTTCATTGTTTCGGTTGCAACAAAAATAGCATGTTTCATTCGGATCAAAAGTGACTTTGTTCGACTCGCCAAATTTTGCTTTCGCTCGGCTTCGCTAAACGCTCCGCCTCGCAAATGCAAAAGTCGCTTGTCAAACAAAGTGCCACTTTTGATCCTAATAAAACAATCTACTATTGCCTCGCTCGTCGTTCACAGAGGGTCCCTTCCACAGAACTAAAACACAGAGGAGAAGGGAATAACAAATTCCAGTCGTGTTCCTAATAGGAGATCAAATATGGCGAAGATAGCCCCTTGGCACGTCTGCGCACTGACTCGTGCTCAGAGACGGCGTCATTTTAATTGTTGCCCCACAGCAGTTGTTAAAATCTGAATTTGCTTCAACCCAAGCTATCGGAATGGAAATACAATCACAGTTTTTTTCTGGATATTGAAAATTGAATCAAAATTATAACACAACATTCCAACATTCGTTCTTAACTTTATTCATTAAAAAAAAAAATAGTTACCAACACAAATAGTCAAATATCAACTTGATATGAATTTTATTTG